TTCACTCCCTCAACGGCCGATCACTCCTTGTTCATGCTTGGCGAGGGGGAGCAGAGGAGTTTCATGGTGGTTTATGTGGATGACATCCTCATTTTCTCACCCTCTTCTGACCTTGTGAAGGAGGTGATGCTGAAGCTTCAAGACAAGTTCAAGTGCAAGGCCCTTGGTGACGTGAGCTTCTACCTTGGGCTCCACATCGAACGAGATGTGGAGAAGCGGTGCATGCGGGTGCATCAACGAAAGTACCTGGAGGCATTGGCTGCCAACTTTGGGCAGAGTGAAGGCCATGTGGCTACACCCTTTCCCTCTGGGTTCAAGTGTGTGAAGGGACCAGAGGAGGAGAGCGTTGGTGAAGAGGAGAGGCGCCGATTTCACTCGTTGGTGGGCAGCCTCATGTATGCGGCGGTAAACACCCGACCGGACGTCGCGTTTGCTACCGGGCAGCTGGCTAGGGTTGTGCAATGCCCTAATGAGGAGCAGGTAGCAGCTGGAATGAGGGTGGCCAAGTATCTTGGCCAAACACCGACCGTTGGGCTGCAATACTCGGCGGCGGCACAAAGGCGCCAAAAGGGCGCGGATGGTGTTGAACCCGGGCGTTTGTTCCTCACCGCCTACTCGGATGCTTCATATGCATCAGAACCAGAGGACATGACAAGTGTGGGAGGCTTCATATGCTGTGTTGGTGGAGGCCCAACTGCTTGGGAGAGCAAGAAGCAGGTTGACCAAGCTTTGAGCTCGGTGGAGTCCGAGTACATGGCACTCTTCCGTGCCGTACGGGAGATTGTGTGGCAGCGGCGTTTGTTGGCTGAATTGGGGGAGGAGCAGCAAGGACCTACCCCACTGTACTGTGACAGCCAGGGTGCCATTGCTCTTGCTAAGAACCCTGTGTTGCATGGACTCACGAAGCACATGAGGGTGAAGTGGCATTGGACGAGGAGCATGGTAACCGCGGGTGAAGTTGAGTTGCGCTACGTGAAGACCACGGGGCAGCCGGCTGACATGATGACCAAGAGGCTGGTGGAGCAGCAGCATTGGAAGTGTTGCAAGCTGGCTGGGATGGCTCTGAACTGAGAGAGCAACATATCCTAAGGCCAACAATCCGAGGGGGAGTTTGTTGGTGCAACCCTACGGTTTGCACTCGGCTTGTTGTCCGTGTGCGTGAATGTGTGTGTGTATGGAATGGTATGAGGGCATGGGATAATATATATTTCATGCTTATAATTGTGTGTGAATGTTGAGTCATGATGTCGAGTGTGTGTGTCGAGTCAATAGCGAGTTATCGCTAGACGCGAGTTACGCGGTTTCTATTTTGTCGTGCGCGGTTTCTATTTTGTCCTGTGTCGAACGTTCGGCGTGTCGCAGGTGTGTGCAGCAGACCCATCAAGAACTCAAGGATGAGTTTGTGATGAAGAGCCCGAGCCTTGGTGTCAAGCCTCAAGTGATTTCGAAGCTCGCCAAAAAGGGTACACCTCAAGATATTGAAGATAGTTACATTACTTTGTGTAATGTAACATTTCACTTGGTGTAGGCCCTAGTGCAGGGTAGTTTCGAGACCCTTCGTGGTTAGGGACAGTGTGGCACTGTTCCACATCACTGTACCTCGGCTCTTGGGGTTTGTAGGAGCTGAGAGTCATTCCCAACTCGTAACTCTTCCTATCTTGTGTTCTAAGACTATAGTGGCTGCCATAGTACCGTTCGTTCAAACCGACGCTGTGTCGTCAATTCTTTATCAAATCGTGCAATCTAAATTGCTAATTGTAGACGACGTGAAGACGCTCCAGATCCAATTTGAATCAAGTCATTTGCAGCTGTGAGCAGAACGCTATCAACGTTTGAAGCCGCTGTGCAGAAATCCGTCTGTGCTCTCTATCTTTCGTTTTAGGCACATTCAAGCCTATTGTGACTATAACAGAGATGAGGGAAGGGGGGATGAGGAATGGGGAGATGAGGGAAGGGGTAATGAATGAGCGTGTATGCGACGGAAGGGTGCTGCTGACCACGCACCCTCCCACACCCCACGCGATGGGAAGGGATGAGAGGGTGGGCGGCATGGGTAGAGAAGCGATGGTGAAGAGGGGGAACGTGATGGGGAGGGGAGTGATGATGACGTGGAGAGAGGAGGAGAGAAGGGAGGTCGGCGGGAAGGCTAAGCGAGGACGATGGGAGGGCAAGCGTGGGCGACAGTGGCGGTGGGCGACGGTGGCGGTGGGCGACGGTGGGGAGAAGCGTGGGCGACGGTGGGGGGAAGCGTGGGCGACGGTGGGGAGAAGCGTGGGCGACGGTGGGGGGAAGCGTGGGCGACGGTGGGGGGAAGCGTGGGCGACGGTGGGGGGAAGCGTGGGCGACGGTGGGGGGAAGCGTGTGCGACGGTGGGGGAAAGCGTGGGCGACGGTGGGGGGAAGCGGGGGCGACGGTGGGGGGAAGCATGGGCGACGGTGGAGGGAAGCGTGGGCGACGGTGGGGGGAAGCGTGGGCGACGGTGGGGGGAAGCGTGGGCGACGGTGGGGGGAAGCGTGGGCGACGGTGGGGAAAGCGTGGGTGACGGTGCTCCGAAGCGTGGGCGACGGTGGGAGGAATCGTGGGCGATGAGAGGGGAAACGTGAGGGAAGGTGGGGAAAGGCGTGAGCGACGGTGTGGGGGAAGGCCGGAGGAAGCGTGAGCGGCGATAAGGGGAAGCGTGAGCGACGGTGGGGGAAAGCTTGGGCGACGGTGGGAAGAGTGGGCGTGTGCGTGGGGAGGTGTGTGAGAGACGGTGGGGAGAAGCGTGGGGGACGCGGAAGGCGATAGGTCCAAATGCGATGTTTGGGAAAGAGCTAGGAATAAAAGTGAAAATGCTCATGGCCTATGCTGTAGTGGCGTTTTATTCTCTCTTCGCATACTCTAATCGCTTCGCGTACTATGGAAATCACACGACCTGAATTACCGAAGAGGGCAAACTGTGCACATTTTGAGCCCTTGTTCCTTCAGGAGGGTGTGGTTGGGACTCTCGCCAACCAAACCTGCTCTGCTCTATGACTCTGTGTTTCTTGGCGCAATGTTTTCTGGTAACCAGCCTGGCTCGGGAGGTCAACTCTGGGTTCGGTAGGCAAACTGTGCACAGTTTGCCTTCCTTTTTTTTGTAATTCAGCTTGGGCTTTAATTTCCGTTCCCCCGCGGGTTATTCCTTGGGGTGCACCGCGCGTTCCACAGGGGGAATGGTGTGGCTGGCCCGGTGGTCCCTGGCCCATGCTGCGTCAGGCGGTCCCCGAGCCAGCTCGGAGACTCGGAGCTGCGTCAGCCTTCTTCCCGCCCAGGACAGGCTGGCGAGCTCGGTTCCGGGCGGTCGAGTGCAGCACGCGGGGTCCGGCGTGCAGGGAGCTCGGACCCTGGTAGCGCTACCGAGGCCGCTACCAGGCGAGTCCCGACGCTACCTGGTGAAATGTATTGATTGATGGGTTCCGTGAATGGAAATGTTTGAAGGTTGGGGTGAGCTATGTCCGATATGAGCCGCATCGGTTACTTGGGCATGTTTTTAGCGCAAAGGGTGGTATGTATTGTAGCACGGCTAGTTCTTGGACGGTATTTCATGATTGTAACGGTTAGTTTGTAGATCGGTCCTGGCTTAAATTTGGTGGGCTGGTTCTTAATGTATTTTCATGATGTATTGTATTGTGTTGTGAGAAATAGTGTGCTCTAAGCAATCCAAAAAAAATACATACAAGAATATATATGGATATATGGTTAAAAATACGACATATTTTGACAAAGACGCAGAAACTATGCCGATCTCAAGCCGAAACGTCCCGTATGCTGTGACCACGCCAACGGGGTGGTCCGACGGTTCAATTGCGAGTGCGAGTACAATAAGCAATTGTATTTCCCTATTAGATGTCTGTTATTGTAATTCTCCCTGAATCTTCAGTAACACTCCCTGAATCTTCACTCTCTGGAGTGACAACGCGGAACCCCTGTTACAAACAGTTCGAACGTTTGAAACCAAAAGCGCGCCCAATCCCCAGGTTTGATTTTCAGGGGGTCACCACCACGTGCTCGTGATGTCCGCAACAGCCGCCAGCATGAGCCCGTATCTGGCACTTGCGTTCAGAGTGGTGTCACACAGATCACGAACCTCCACGAAGGTCTTCCGAGCCTTTTTAACGTGGTTACCAAACCGATTTCAGGTTCTCCGAGCGTCCATTCGTCAGCTAAGGGCGTATTCCTACCCTCCTATCAACCTGACCTCCTATCAATAGGGCAATTGTATTTCCCTATTAGGAGTCTGTTATTGTAACACTCCCTGAATCTTCAGTAACACTCCCTGAATCTTCACTCTCTGGAGTGACAACGCAGTTCGAACATTTGAAACCAAAAGTGCGCCCAATCCCTAGGTTTGATTTTCAGGGGGTTACTACCACGTGCCCGTGATGTCCGCAACAGCCGCCAGCATGAGCCCGTATCTGGCACTTGCGTTCAGAGTGGTGTCACACAGATCACGAACCTCCACGAAGGTCTTCCGAGCCTTTTTAACGTGGTTACCAAACCGATTTCAGCCTCTCCGAGCGTCCATTCGTCAGCTTAGGGCGTATTTCTATCCTCCTATCAATCTGACCTCCTATCAAGTTCACACTGAAAAATCCCCTAAACCCAAAACCTCTTGCCACTTTTCCCAGGCAAAAGTACAATCTTGATAGGAGGCGGCCTTGATAGGAGGCTGTAGGAATACGCCCTAGCTGAAATATGGGTAAACGAGGGATTCGTAAGCCTCCGCATTTCCGAGCCTCGAACAGGACCTGAGATTCGAACAACGGGAGGACTCCAGTGGCGGGAAGAAAAGAGCACTCTCAAACTATCCGTTTCTACTAGTTCAACAGTCTACGAGCTTGCCACTGTGTATATTGCTTACGCACTGACATGCTCTGCAAGCACTTCAAAAGTCAAGCGCCCTCCTCTGGTAGCCTCCTACTCGGAGCACCTGAGCGCCACTTGCGGCAGTGAAAATGGTAGATGATAGTGCGGCAGAAATGCCGCCAGGAGCACCGACACCAAATCCAAGCAGCGGAAACGCCACCGCGGGCGTCGCTGCGGATACTACGAGCCTTTCCGCAAGCGCCGAAGGGGAAAGGGTGCATCCCGGACCTTCCGCGGTGGGGGAAACCATACCCGCAGAAGGTAGTCAGCCCGCGGGGCTAGCGCACGATTCAGCGACTCAATTTTCTTCCGCCGGAGAAGGCACAGGCGGAAGTTCCGCCGCTCTTCCTTCCGCCGGTTCCTCAATTTCCGCGCCGCCGCCGGTACCCGAGGAGGATCACGGCGGCGTCCGCGACGCGCCGCCGGCCGGTGCTGCTGCGGAGGAGGGTGAGCTCTCCGCCGCCGAGGTGCATTACTTCGCGGAAACGCTCCGCCAATGGCACGGGCGGACGGACACGCCGCGTTGCCCCTCCGCGGGGGCGTTCCGCCGACACTCCGTCGGGGGGAAACCGCGCGGCATCCCCCTGCAGATGTCCGCCCCGGTCGGGGGAAGCGCCGGCATGCGCGGAGCAGCGGCGAAGGAGAAGAAGCAGAAGAAGGAAGAAGAGGAGGAGCAGCCGCTGCTGGCGCAAGGCGGCGCGGGGGCAGCGCCGCGGGGCAGGGCGGCTGGCGCGGATGCAGGCGCAATGGCGGGGGACGGCGCGGAAGGCGCGGCGGAGTTCGACTACGGGAAGCTTCGCGGGGTGCTGACGGGACTGGCGAAAGACGTGTTGGTAGAGCTGTGGATAGAGCAGCACGTGCGGTTGGTGGAAGTGGGGGAACGAGAGGCCGCCGCGGAGGCTTACCGGGGCATCATGGAGGTGAGAGGGTGTTTGAGGTGGTGCTACCGGCGGAAGTAGTGGTGTAGTGCGGTGGGAGGGGTTGCGGTACGGTGCGCTGCGGTGGAGCGTTGTGTGGTGTAGTCTTGCGTGATGGAGCGTTGGGAAAGGTTGGTGGGGGGGCTGTGTTGTTGTGGGATGCAGAGACGCGGGGATGCGTGTGGTGGAAGCAGTGTGCTGTGATGTGATATGAACGGCGGCGCGATGATGCTGTCACTGCGTCGCCACTGAACTGCGTGCCACGTGATGGGGCGCGGAATTGTGCTGCGCGGTGGAGTGCGGTGCAATGCGATGCCGCGTGCATCACTTCTGACTCACTGCTCGTATGAGCCATCCGTTCTATCGCTCCTTCACTTCATCACCCCTCACTCACTTCCCTGCTCCCTCCCCGCGCTCCCCGCTTCCCGTCCCCCACTCCCCGCTCCCCGCTTCCCGCCCCCCGCTTCCCGCTCCCCGCTTCCCACCCCCCGCTTCCCGCTCCCCGCTTCCCACCCCCCCGCGTCCCACCCCCCCGCTTCTCGCCCCCGCACGCGGTCCCCCTTTTCTCCAATGCAGCGCGCGCAGCAGCTGCAGCGCGTGTCATTCCGCGTGCCGTCCAAGAGGGAGGGGTTGACCGGCATTGACCTGCTGCTGCGCGACGGACTGCTGACGTTCCTAATCAAACTCAGTCAATACCTTCCGCCCATGCCCGAACAGGTGCGGGTGTGGGGGAAGGGGGAAGGGGGAAGGGACGGGAGGGGGACGGGAAGGGGAGGGGGACGGGAGGGAAAGGGAAGGGATGCGGGGGTTGGGTGGGAAGGGGGCGCAATGGAAGGGGCAAGGCTGGTGGGGGGTGAAAGAAGAGGGTTGAAGTGGGGAAGTAAAGTGTCCGTTGCAATCGTACACACAGTCAATATGCATGCATGGATGGGCGTGATTTCACTGGTGTTCATTCGCACAGTTGGCATTGGCAGCACACCGCCTACTGCCCACCTCCCTTCCCTTCCCTCCACCTCTCTCCCTTTCCGAAGCCCCTGCATCCCCTTCTTTAATAAACATCTCGCTTTTCATCACTCGTCCCTCACTCTCCCACCAACCCTCTTCCTCCCCCACAAAACAACCCACCCAGCCACCCTTCTTCACCCCTTTCTTGCTGCACTGCATACTATGCTCTTCCGCCAGTACTATTCTCCTCACATTCATCCACCTCCGCTGCCATACCACAACAGGCTTATCCTCTTTCCTTTCTCTCTCTTCTTTTGCACATCCACCCCGCTCTCTCGGCCTCCCCTCCCCAGCCACCTCCCCCGTATCCCTCCCCACAGTCTCTCCTCTCATCAGTCGTTTACCCACATCCTCGCTGTCTCCCCTTGAACCCCTCCCTCCCCCCTTTTCTCTCTCCCCCTCCGTCCCCTCTCCCGCCCGGCAGGTGGTGAAGCTACACGATGTGACCTACACAGCTAAGATCCAGCGCAAGCAGGAGGGGGGGGTTGAAAGGTACTAGACGCTCGCCCCAATCTCCTTCCTCTCCTCCCCTCCCCCTCCTCCACGCCCGGCAGGTGGTGAAGCTACACGATGTGACCTACACGGCCAAGATCCAGCGCAAGCAGGAGGGGTACGAGACGGTGGGGTCGAAGCTTCTCGGCTGCTTCCTGCCGTGCGCCTCACCGCCGGCCCCCTGGGAGGACTTCAACGTGCTCTCAGACCTCTCTGCTTACTTCATGCCCGGCTCGCTCACACTCATCTGCGGCCCGCCCGGATGCGGTGAGACTGTGTTACTGGATTGTAAAGTAGAGCAAGACCAGACAGCACGGTTACAAAGCCCCCTTGACATGTCTGCGGCTCTGGGGATTCTGAGTATCCACTTTCCCTGACTTCAACATGCTCTCAGACCTCTCCGCTTACTTCATGCCCGGCTCGCTCACACTCATCTGCGGCCCCCCTGGATGCGGTGAGTGGGACTCTGTTGTGGGCCTACCAAGTCCCCGCCGGCCCCCTGGGAGGACTTCAACGTGCTCTCAGGGCCTCTCAGCCTACTTCATGCCCGGCTCGCTCACTCTCATCTGCGGCCCGCCCGGATGCGGTGAGATTGTGTTGTCTTGTTGTGGGGTTAGTTGGGAGGAGTTCAACAGTTAAACACAACATGCTCTCTCTCTCTCAGACCTCTCTGCTTATTTCATTCCCGGCTCTCTCACGCTCATCTACAACCAGGATGCGGTGAGATTGTCTGACTGTATTGTAGAGAAGAGTTAGACCAGACTGGAGGGTTACGAAGTCCCCATGACATGAGAGGGCAGCTCTGAGGATTCCGAGTCCCTACTCCCCCCTTCAAGAACCTCCCTTTCCTCAAGACAGCTTCTATGCGGCATGCTCTCTTTGACTGGCCTCTCCTCTCGGCCTTCCTCGTCCCTGGCTCTCCTCCTCCCCTTCCTCTCCCTCCCTACTCCCGGGAAAATCCGTCTTCCATAAGACCATCGCAGGGCGCCTCCCAGAGACCAAGTCCCTGCGCCTCAGGCGAGTGAGGTGACGTACAACGGGAGGCCATGACTCTTCCACTCCACCCCACCCCAACCCACCCCACCCCACCCCACCCCACCCCCCCCTCGCCCCCCTCTTCCCGTCCCCCAGGCAAATCCGCATTCCATAAGACCATCGCAGGGCGCCTCCCAGAGACCAAGTCCCTGCGCCTGTCCGGCGATGTGACATATAACGGGCGGCCGTGGCGGGAGGTGCAGGTGCGGAGGATGACGGCGTTTGTGGGGCAGACGGACGAGCACATCCCCACGCTCACAGTCATGGAGACGTGCAAGTTCGCTCAGGAGTGCAACCGCCTCATCACCCCCAAGGATTACGAGCCGCTACAGGGGCTTATCGACATGGTGAGAGCGGTTCTAAGGGGTGGTGAGGGGTGTTGTGGTGAGCGGTGGTGAGCAGGGGTGGGTGGTCGCAAGGGGTGATGGGGGATGGCGAGTGGTGGTGGGTGATGGTATGGTAGGTATGTGCGTGGTGAGTGGGTGGAGAAGTGGTGATGGGTGCCCGTGCGGAGGGTGACGGCGTTGGTGGGGCAGACGGACGAGCACATACCCACGCTCACAGTCATGGAGACGTGCAAGTCCGCTCAGGAGTGCGGCCAATTGATCAACCCCAAGGGTTATGAGCCCCTTTAGGGGCTCATGGAGATGGTGAGTGAGAGCGGTTCTGCGCGGTCTTGGGGCTTGTAGACATGGTGAGCGGTGCTGCACAGTGGTGCGGGGTGCGCGTGGGCAGTGGTGAGCATCGTGAGAGGTGAAAGAGGGGGTGGTGAGCGGTGGTTATCAGTGGTGGTAAAGTGGATGGTGGTTAGTGGTTGGTATGTGTGTGGTGAGCGGGCGTCTGAGTCGTTTGGCCTTCCTTTGCCCCCATTTAACAGCGACTCCTTCCTATCTGCTCCTTCCACCCAAAAACCCAACCGCACAATTATGCACGGAGCTGGGGGGCATGGACACAAAAAGTGTCAGAGATGGGGTTTGAACCCATGCCTCTTTCGAGACCGCAACTTGAGTGCGGCGCCTTAGACCACTCGGCCACTCTGACATGTCTGTCAAGAAAGAACAGTTTCATTGGGAGTGGTTTGTTCAGTAACCACACGTACACCCCAGCAACCCTTGAGCACATCATTCAGAGCCATGGTTAGCCCCGAACAACACGAGGCAAAGGGAGATGTCCAGGCAGCACAGCAACACGAATCGTACAATGATTCTCTCAGCAGCAGCATCAGAGCACTAGGGCCGTACTACACTCACTCATACGACACCCAGCAGCAGCAGCACCAGGAGGCTAGAGCTCACGTTGCACCTGTTTTGATGACACCCCCCCCCCCCCCCCCCCCCCCCTCCCCCCCCTCCCTCTCTTTCTCGTCCCCACCTCTTTTTTCCGTGATCCCCCCCCCTCTACCCCCTTCCAAACACGCATGGTCCACAGGGCTGGGTGGCATGGACCTGAATTTCGAGTTCACACTGCACGTGCTCTCCCTCCTTCACTCCCCCCCTCCCTCCCCTACCCCCCCCACCCCCAAAACCTCAAATTCAAACCCCTAAACCCCGTATCTGATACTTCCCAGATACGCACGGAGCTGGGCGGCATGGATCCGAAGCTCGAGTTCACGCTGCACCTGCTTTGTTCATTCCTCCTACGCACCCCACCCCTTTCTCTCTCCTCTCCCCCCCCCCCCCCCCCTCGAAAACCCCCAAACCCTAAACCACCCAGATACGCACGGAGCTGGGTGGCATGGACTTGAAACTGGAATTCACGCTGCACCTGCTTTGCTGATATCCCCCTCTCTCCTCCCCACCTCTGTTTCCCATCACCTCCCCTTTCCCCCCCGTCTCCCCTTCTCCCCACCCAGATACGCACAGAGCTGGGCGGCATGGACTTGAAACTGGAGTTCACGCTGCACCTGCTGGGGCTCAAGGGAGCGGCCAACACCATCGTGGGCAGCCGCACTGTGAGGGGCGTGAGCGGGGGGGAGCGGCACCGTGTGACAACGGCTGAAATGATGTCTGGTACGTGTATGGCGATGACACTGCGAGAGATGATGCATGTGTGGGTGTGTGTGGTCCGCTGCACCTGCTGGGGCTCAAGGGAGCGGCCAACACCATCGTGGGCAGCCGCACTGTGAGGGGTGTGAGCGGGGGGGAGCGGCACCGCGTGACAACGGCTGAAATGATGTCGGGTATGTGTGACGTTGCAAGGGATGGCACTGCTGCATAAGCATTGAATAAGCACGACCCAAACTGTTGAGTCGACTCGACAGTCACCCTGGCATGGCATGTGTGGCAATGTTGAATAAGCATGACCCAAACTCCTGTCCTTGCTCTCTTGAGGGCTTAGAGTTACTGCGTTTCATATGCAGTGGCAGAATGACGTGCAGGGTTTCAAGTTTCCACAACCTTTTAGTTTCCAGCCCCCCGTTTTTCCCCTCCCTCCCGTCTCCCCCCTAACCTGCTCTCGCTCCCCTTTTCCATCCCTCCCCCCCCGCCCCGTTTACGACGACTTGCGAGCAGGCATGTTTGTGGTGATGGCGTTTGACGAGATCAGCACGGGGCTGGGCAGCAGTGCCACTTGCTGATTTGACTCCCCTTGTCCCTCCCCCTTCCCACACCCCTTGTTCCTCCCTGCAACGCTTCCTCTCTCCCCCACACCCTCCCCAGGCATGTTTGTGGTGATGGCGTTTGACGAGATCAGCACGGGGCTGGACAGCAGTGCGACGTACGACATAGTGTCGGCCATCCGCACCATTGCCCGCGTGCGCCGCACCACCAACGCCTTCTCGCTGCTGCAGCCGCCGCCCGAAGTGTTCAATTTATTCGACAGGTGGGGATTCCTGGTGGAGGGTTGAATTGACGAGAGAAGATGGGAGCAAGAAGAGAGCAGAGGTTGGGAAGGGAGAGGAGAGAGTGATTTTTTGGGAAGGGCAGGGGACAGGGTGAGGGGAGCGAAGGGAGGGTTGGGGGAAAGCGGCCAGGTATCATCACTGTAGCCTTTTTGGACCAGGTATCATCACTTGAGCTCCTGCTGTCAGTTCGTTTTGTCTCGTCCCCCTCCCTTCCCATTCCTCCGTCCCCCACTCATGTGTCCCCCTCAGATTCCCCAGGGATTAGGGTTTAGGATTTAGGGGCGTCCCTAAAGCCTCCCTCCCCTCCCCTCTGTTCCATGCACTGCACGCATGCCCTCTCTCAGGGTGATAGTGCAGAGCGAGGGCAGTATCATCTACCAGGGCCCACGGGCCACGGGTTGATAGTGCTACACAAGAGTACAGAATTCGTCTCTAATGCTTATGCCCCTCCCCTCCGTCCGCATTCATGTGCCCCTCGCCAACTCAGGGTGATAGTGCTGAGCGAGGGCAGTATCATCTACCAGGGCCCACGGGCTGATGTGCTGGCTTACTTTGAAGGGCTGGGGTGAGTGCGTGGGTGGGTGTTTGGCTGGGTGTGTGTGCTTGTGTGCGTGTGTGGGCGTGTGTTTGTGTGCCAGTGTGGGCGTGTGTGTGTGTGTGTGTGTGTGTGCATGCGCGTGTGTGTGTGGGTGTTTGTGTGCGTGTGTGGGTGTGGGTGTGTGTGTGTGTGGGTGTGTGTGTGTGTGTGTGCGTGCGTGTGTGAGTGGGTGTTTGTGTGTGTGTGGGTGTTTGTGAGTGTGTGTGGGTGTTTGTGCGTGTGTGTGGGTGTTTGTGCGTGTGTGTGCGTGTGTGTGTGGGTGTTTGCGTGTGTGTGTGTGTGTGTGTGTGTGTGTGTGGGCCCTTGCTGTTGTCCTTTTCCCTCGTGCCCTTTTCTTCCCCCTTCCCTCTTCAGTTCTTCTCCCTTCTTTCCTCCCTGCCTTCACCCCCTCCCTCCTACCCACTCCCCCTCTCAGATACCGCAAGCCTCCCCATGTGGACGTGGCGGATTTCATTCAGGAGATTCCAACAGAGTCAGGTGTGGAGTTTGTGGCACCTGGCGCCGCCCACCTGAGCACGGCGCAGCTGGTGGAGGCATACCAGAACTCGGCGCACTACAGGGATGTGATGCGCGTGGTGCAGGGGGAGAAGGTGAGGGAGTGGGTGGGTGTGGGTGGGTGAGTGGGGGTGTGGGTGTGTGCTTCTGGATACGCATAAGCACATAGCACGTGCATGTGGCACGTGCATGCAAGGCCATAAGATCATTGTGTGCTGTTTCTATAAGTGTGCATCAACTACGCGGATAAGGTGCAGTGCATGATGCGCCCTACAACCATTGGGCCGCCCTGAAGCTACACCATGGCCATGCTACACCATGGCCATGCTACGCCATGGCCATGCTACACCATGGCCATGCTACGCCATGGCCATGCTACACCATGGCCATGCTACGCCATGGCCATGCTACACCATGGCCATGCTACACCACACCACCCAATGCACGCATTTTGAGACGTCTAAAAAAATTGGGCCGCCCTGAAGCTACGCCATGCCATGCCCATGCTACACCACACCACCCAATGCACACATGTCCCCATGCCTCCCCGTACCACCACACCACACACACACCAGCTGTGCAAGTCCGTGTGGGTGGAAATGCAGCCGCGTACCCTCCCCCCCAACCACCTATCCCCACCGCCCATCCACCACCCCCACGCCACGCGCACCAGGTGTGCAAGTCCGTGTGGGTGGAGGTGCAGCTGCTTATTCTCTGAGACACCTGCCAATGTACTTATTCCCTTTCCCCCCACCACCACCCATGTCCTCCCCCACCCCCATGACCCCCCGTATCACCAAGTCACACACACACACACCAGGTGTGCAAGTCCGTGTGGGTGGAGGGTCAGCCACCTATTATCAAGACGTCTTAGAAGCCAATGCACTTCTTTCCACCACTCATGCCCTCCCCCACCCCCCACGCCACACACACCTGAAACACTGTGAGGTGCAGCCGCTTATGCTCTGAGACACCTGAAAAGCCAATGTAATCATTCCCTTCTCCCCCCCCCACCCATGCCTTCCCCCCCCCACCCATGCTACACACACACACACACCAGGTGTGCAAGTCTGTGTGGGTGGAGGTGCAGCCGCCTATCGACCTGACCTTCTCCGTGTCAGGGGACTCAGGTACAGTCCAGGCCGTCATGCATGCCCGTTACTCACTCACTTCAACCCCATAATGACTGGGCTGTTTCATATGTGTCTGTCTCGTTCAGAGTGCACAATATTTGTGCCCCTTCCTCTCAAGTGCCTCCTCCCTCATCCACATCCCCATCCGCAGTCGTGGTGGCCAGTGTGGCACCGCACTCCCATCTCGCGCGCCCAGACATCACCTGCACTGACACCGTGCACCCAGGGGACTCCGTCACAGGCCTGGCTCTCCCGGGAGGGATCATGCAGTATGCCAAAGCAGGGGACGGCAGGGGAGGAGGCGGAAGGGAGGGTGGGGAGCAGGAGGGGGTTGTGAGTGCGGAGGAGCTTCAGAAGAAGCTGTTGGTTGCGGCCAAGGGGGGGGAAGGAGGCGGGAAGGAAGGGGAAGGCGAGGGGGAGGGAGGTGGTGCTGTGCGGCTGCAGCTGGAACGGCCGTTGGTGCAGGTGGGTGGGATGCGGTTGGAGGGGTTTGTACAGCATTCCTTGGTGCCTCAGCAGTGTGCTCTCCACCTGCCTCCCCATCCCCCTCACGTTCCCCACACTCCTCTTCTCATCTCCCACACGCCAAGTTTGAGCAGGAATGTACGCCATTCCGTGGTGGCCCAACACTGTCCACTCCACCTTTCCCTCCTTCCCCATCACCCTCTCTCACAATCCCTTTCCCCTGACTCCTCATCTCTCACATCGTCCCCCCACCTACAGGAGGAGGAGCCGTCGCACGCCAAGTTTGAGCAGGAGTACGCCATCCCCTGGTGGCCCAGCACGAAGCTGGTGGTAGGGCGGCAGTTCAAGGTCGCCATCCGCAACACCTCCTTCCTCATCGCGCGCGGCATGCAGGTATCCTCATCTCTTATGTCAACTCAACAATCGCCTCATCACTCACATGCAACACGAGCATGCAGGTAACTCACCGTGTCTTGACTGACCATGGTGTGTGTGTGTGTGTGTGTGTGTGTGCATTCCGGCATGGCGCCGTACAGTACAGGTACACCATAATTGCTATCACACCATGGCCCCTGTACCTGTACCTGTACCTGTACCTGTACTTTCAGGGGTTACCTCCGCCCCTGTGCAACCCCTCTCTACGGTCATGGTCATGCAGGGGGGGTGTACTCCGTCTCCTTTGCCATCCATCGCAATACCCTGTACACACCCCCCATTCTCTTCCTCCTCCTGCCCCCCACCCCTTCTCCCCCACCCCTTCCCCCCCCCCCCCCCTCAGGTGCTCATCCTGGGCATATTCACGGGAACAGTCTTCTTCCAGATCCCCAACACCGTCTCCACGGCCACCATGCAGCTGCGCCTCTCCATCGCCTTTGCCGCCACCATGGCCCTCGCACTGGGCGGCTTTGCGCTCATCCCGAACATCATAGACGAGCGGCAGGTGGTGGAGAAGCAGCTGGGGGCGCGGTTTTATCGCTCCACGTCCTATGTCATTGCCAGTACCATCTGCAACTTCCCCTTCTCGCTCGCTGAGGTGAGCGGGGGGACGGGAGACGCGTGGAGCAGGTGGGGTTGAGTTGGTTGGATTGATTGGAGCTAGCAAGGTTCCCCTTGTTGCTGGCTGAGGTGAGGGGAGAAGGGACAATAGGGGGAACTTGGGAGGGATAGGAGGGTTGTGGCAGGGGAGAGGAGGCTTTGCACTCATCCCGAACATCATAGACGAGCGGCAGGTGGTGGAGAAGCAGCTGGGGGCGCGGTTCTACCGCTCCACGTCCTATGTGATTGCCACCTCAGCGAGCGAGAAGGAGGGGCCAGCTTAGTCCTCTTCCTGCTGCTGTTGCTTGCAGTCGACATCCTGGGAGCCACGCTCATCTGCCTCCCTCCCCCCTCCCTTCCTAAACCCTAAACCCGCCAATCACCCTTCCAACCCCCCCCCCCCCCCCCCCCTCTCCACCCCCACCCCTCTCTTTCCCTCCATACCTGCCCTTAGGTGCTGATATACGGCCCGCTCGTGTACTGGCTGACGGGCATGAGTGCAGCAGACGGCCCTGGCCACCCCCAATCACCTCTCCACTCCCTCCCCATCCCTCCCTGCCGATCAGGTGCTGATATACGGCCCGCTCGTGTACTGGTTGACGGGCATGAGTGCGGCACAAGGAGCGTCGCACTTCTTCCTCTTCATGCTGCTGCTGCTCGCAGTGGACGTCATGGGCGCCACGCTCATCCGCCTCATCGCCTCCGTCAGCTCTTCACGCGAGATGGCGTCTAGCCTTGCAGGTACAGTACAGTACGGCACAGTACAGTACGGTATGGTACGGTACGGTACGTACAGTACAATACAGGTCTGATGGTGATCACCTTCCTGCTCTTAACGGGCTTCCTGCTGACCAAGCCCAACATCCCGCCGTGGTGGATCTGGATGTATTACATCAACCCGCTGCAGTACGGCTTTTGACACGTCTAAAACCCCAACAACCCCCCCGCTCTCTCCCCCCTCCCCCTCCTCCGTTCCTTCTCCGTACCAGGGTTGATGGTCATTACATTCCTGCTCTTCACGGGCTTTCTACTCACGAAGCCCAACATCCCGCCGTGGTGGATCTGGATGTATTACATCAACCCGCTGCAGTACGGCGTCACGGCCATCTGCATCAACGAATTCCTCTCCGGCTCCTACAACGAGGTACGGTGTGGTGTGGTGTGGTGCGGTGTGGTGTGGTGTGGTGTGGTGTGGTGTGGTGTGGTGTGGTGTGTAGAGCAGCTCACGTCTGTCGTTCGCTGCAGTACGGAGCGGCGGAGCCACGGCCATCTGCATCAACGAGTTCCTCTCCGGCTCCTACAGCGAGGTCTCTCCGCGGCCACGGGTTTTGGCGTGTGGGATGCGGGGTGTAGCTTGCAGTGTGGGGTGTATGTGGTGCATGGTGGTGTGTAGTGGTACGACGGCTCGTCTGGTTTCACAGTATATATACAAGGCTTGGCATCTATATCGCCCGCCCACCTTTCACCTTTCTCTGTAAGGGCCCTCGCAGTGGGTTCACTTCCTATCCCTCACACTCCCTCTCGCTCACACTCCCTCTCACTCACCCTCCATCTCCATCACACTTCCTCTCGCTCACACCCCCTCAAGCTCACAATCCCTCTCACTCACACTCCGTCTCTCCCGCACTCCCTCTCTCCCACTCCCTCTCCCGCACCTCTCAGCTCTGCAGCACAGTCAACACCACCACCGCATCCTTCTGTATCAACAAGCCTGCAGGCACAACAGCCGGAGAAGCCTTCCTTCAGTTCTTCGGCATACCTTCTTCCTTTGGAGCTGTCTGGATCTCCTTCGCAGCCCTCATAGCCTTCACTGCGCTCTTCATCTGCCTCACCTTCCTTGCTGCTTCCCGCGTGCGCTTCAACGAGAATAAGACGCCGCCCGCCAGCCGCCTGCCGCCCCTGCCGCCCCAGCGGAACGTGTTCCAGAAGGCCGTGCGGGCGGTAAAGAAGCAGATGTCTGCAGAGGGAGAGGCGGGCAAGGGGGGGGAGGAGGAGGGGAGGGGGGAGGGAGAGGCGGAAGAAGCACAGGCAATGATCAAGAGGGATGGTGCTGGTGCTGCAGGTGCTGCTGCTGGTGGTGCTGGTGCTGCTGAAGGCAGTCTTATTGAGGATGGTGCAGAGGAGGATGGAGGGAGCAAGGCCGCCCCTCAGTCCCGAGTGCAGTTCACCCCCACCACTCTTTCCTTCCATGACCTGCTCTATGAGGTGCGAGTGCTGGTGTTTTTTTTGGACGGCTCAAAAGTCGAGTGCAGTCACCCCCACCACTCTTTCCTTCCATGACTTGCTTTATGAGGTGCGACTGCTCCTGCTGCTGCTACTGCTGCTGCTGTTCCGGATCCTGCTGCTCATGGCTCTCAAGATCACCTACCTTCCATCCCATCCCTTCAGAAACTATCCCATCACATCTCATTCCATCCCATTCCGTCCCATCCCATCCCATTCCTCCCCATCCCAACGTCCCGTCCATCCCACACCCCTCGCAACCATTCCCCTCACCAGGTGGACGTGCCGGGCATGAGCGAGCACAAGGTGCTTTGCTTCCATTAAAATCACATTCCATCCCACGCACCTCCACACACCCCCCCACACAACCCCCCCCCGACCCATTCCCCCAACCAGGTGGACGTGCCGGGCATGAGCGAGCCCAAGGTGCTGCTCAACAGTATCTCGGGCTTCGTTCGCCCCGGCACCATGACTGCTCTCATGGGCTCCTCAGGTACGCACTAAGTACTCTCTTCCATGCACGGTCACGATTCACTTCTCTCTCCTCAGGTACTGTCCATCTCTTCTCTTCCTCGCTCACCCCCTCCCTCCGCACCATGGCTGCTCTCATTGGGTTCCTTTTTCAAGTACGTTCTCTCTTTTGTCCCTCCACACTCTTCCTTTAACATTATCTCTGACGTTGTCCATTCCCACCCTTGCTCCCTTTTTCGTGCCTACGGTTTCCTTCTTCTTCGCATTGTCTCCCCCTATCGGACGCATCCGAGGCGACCTTTTCACTCTGCCTCCCCTATTCGCCTTGTTCCTTGTCCCCCCCCCCCCCCCCCCCCCCCCCACTTCCCTCTATGTGCAGGTGCGGGCAAGACGACCCTGTTGGACGTGCTGGCAGGGCGCAAGACCATAGGGCGCATCAGAGGCGACATTCTCGTCAACTCCTTCCCCAAAGTGCAGGACACGTTCGCCCGCATCTCCGGGTAGGTACTGCTGTAGGCCTTGCTGTAGGTGATGCTGCTGCTACCACTTTTTAGATCGATTCAGAAGATCATGTAGGGGCGCACGCGAGGCGAGGCGACATTCTCGTCAACTCCTTCCCCAAAGTGCAGGACACGTTTGCGCGCATCGCTGGGTAAGGTGCAGCTTCGAGTCACTACCTGCATCTTGGTCTCCCGCACAGTGGTAGTAGTAGCCACATCAGACCGAGGAGATCGGTACCTGCAAGGCTCCAGGAAGGCCGATTGTTTTGTTGCCCAGTGTTCCATCACTAGAGGTCCATCACTAGAGTCGTCTTTGTCCCTGCCATTTTGCAATCGGTAGCCTCTCCTTCCTTGCGCCGCTTCTCCTTGCCCTTCTCGCTCCTCACACACCCCACCCACCTCCCCTTCACCCAGCTACGTGGAGCAGAGCGACAGCCGCACGCCCCTTCATCACCACCTATGCTCGCCATGCCCCCTCCATGGCTCGCCCTTTTCCCCTTCACCCAAACCTTCCCTCCCCTCTCTTGCCAGCTACGTGGAGCAGAGTGATATCCACACACCCTTCATCACCATCCGCGAGTCGCTACAGTTCAGTGCCGCGCTGCGCCTCCCCTCCACCACCTCGCGCGCTGAAAGGGCACTCGTGGTTCAGGAGGTGCGTGCGGTTAGATTGATAGGCAGGCTTGAAGAATTAAAGGCAACTCTGCTCCGTCATCTGTGTTGAGTCGCTGCGGTTCAGTGCTGCGCTGCATCTCCCCACCACCACCTCGCGCACCGACAGGGCACTCGTGGTGCCGTTTGCAGTTGGTGCATGCGGTCAGTTAGACTTGCTAGAGATGAACGACACTCGAGGCATGCTAGTAGTAGGGGTCATAGGCATCAACTTTAGAGTCGACTCAAAAATATACTCTTTTCGATTCGAGGCATGCTAGTAGGGGTCATTAGGCATCAACAGGCGGTCTGTGGAGCAGGCTTAAGCTACTCTCCCCCCTCCCCCCCCCTCCTCTTCCTTCCTTTGCTGCTCACCAGGCAATGGACCTACTGGAGCTGCACGACATAGCGGACACACTAGTGGGATTCATAGGCATCAACGGGCTGTCAGTGGAGCACGCTTCAACTGCCCTCTCCCCCTTCTCCTTCCTCTGTCCCCCGCTTCTCATTCCTGTGTCCCCCGCCCAGGCCATGGACCTGCTGGAGCTGCATGACATAGCGGACACGCTAGTAGGATTTATTGGAGTCAACGGGCTGTCCGTGGAGCAGGCAAAGCGGCTGACGATAGGCGTGGAACTGGTGGCGAACCCCATCCTTCCTCCCTCCTTTCCCTTCCCGCACTGCCCCCTGTACAGGCCATGGACCTGCTGGAGCTGCACGACATAGCGGACACGCTGGTAGGCTTCATAGGCATCAACGGGCTGTCAGTGGAGCAGGCAAAGCGGCTGACGATAGGCGTGGAGCTGGTGGCGAACCCCAGCGTGCTGTTCCTGGATGAGCCGACGAGTGGGCTGGATAGCCGCGCTGCTGACATTGTCGTGCGGGGAATCAGAAACATTGCTGCCACTGGCAGGAGGTGAGGGGGAGAGGGGAGGGTGGTGGGAAAGGGTGGGGAGGAGGGGAAAAGTGGGGAGGGAAGGGGGCGTGGAAACCTGTTTTTGAGATTTCTCAGAAATACTATGTTTTAGGTGTTTGGGAAGGCGGCTGACGATAGGCGTGGAGCTGGTGGCGAACCCCAGCGTGCTGTTCTTGGATGAACCCACCAGCGGGCTGGACAGTCGCGCCGCTGACATTGTTGTTCGCGGGATCAGGAACATTGCTGCCACTGGCAGGAGGTGAGGGGAGGGGAAGGAGGCGGGGGTGCGTGACTTATGTTTTGTTTTCTTGTTATTATTAGGGGCAGGAGTAGTCATTCAGGGAACTGGTTGTCCTCCAAGCTCTGATTCTTAGACCCTGACAAGGCAAACACCCTCATTCATTGTGCCATATGCACCACAAGGTGACTTTTGAGTCGACTCAAAAGTCACCTGACAAGGCAAACACCCGCATTGTGCCATATGCACCACACTCCACACACGCCTTTCGTGTCGGCTCAGAAACCCACTCCCCACCCCACACCCCACCCAACCGCACTCCACCCCTGGTTGCAGCACGATCTGCACGATCCACCAGCCGAGCCGGCGGCTGTTCTTTGCGTTTGACTGGCTCTACCTCATGAAGCGCGGGGGCGAGGTGGTTTACTTCGGCCCCATCGGCCACAACGGCTGCGACCTCCTGGTGGGTTGGATGCGGTGCTGATGGGTTGGATGCGCTCTGTGACAATGGAAGTTGCACAGGGCAAGGCATCACTTGCAGTGCAGCTCTTTGGCTGCACAGTATTAATCATTTTGTTTTGTTTTTTTTCCAGTGTCTTTCGCTTCTGCACTTCCACTCTCGTCCTCACTCGCTCCTACCCCTATATCCCCTTTACCCCCCTCTCTTCGCCCTCTCCCACCCGCTTCCCTTTTCCCCTACCCCTACCACCCCCATGCCCCCACAGAGCTACTTCGAGTCTCTGCCGGGTCTGCCCAAGTGCCGGGATGACCAGAACCCTGCCACTTGTCAGTGCCCCTCCCTCCTCTCCTCTCTATGCATGCCCCTATCCTTCCTCTCAATAGAGCCCCAGATTGGAGTCAAGTCTCTCTGCATGCCTCTTCCTTTCTCTTCCATGCATGCACCTCCATCCCCTCCTTCCTCCCCTCCCCTCCCTGTACCCATGCCCCATCCCTTTGTCTTCACTCCTTGCCTCCCCCCTCCTCCCTTTTTTTGACTTGAGAGATTACCGAATTCCCCTTTTATGCCCCTTTCCTTTTACATATCTTGTTCCCTCTCTCCTCCTCTTTCCTCCACTGATCATGCTGCCAGATATGTTGGAGATGATAGGGGCGGGCATCGGTCATGCGGCCATGCGGGACTTTGCTCTTGACTACGCTGAGAGTATTCTTGCTGCTGACAACCGTGAGCTGCTGCCCCCTGCCTCCCGCCCTCCGTCCCTACCTCCCTTTCCTCCTTCCTCCTTTCCTCCTTTCCTCCTTTCCTCCTTTCCTCCTTTCCTCCCTCCCTCCCTCCCTCCCTCCCTCCCTCCCTCCCTCCCTCCCTCCCTCCCTCCCTCCCTCCCTCCCTCCCTCCCTCCCTCCCTCCCTCCCTTTCTCCGTCCGTCCGTCCGTCCCTCCCTCCCTCCCTCCCTCCTCCCTCCTTACATGTCCCCTTCTCTTCCTGCTTCCCTTTCGTCATTGCTCCCTCCCTATCTGCATCTCTTGCATGCATGCTTCCTTGCCTCTCCGTCGTTGCTTCCTCTCCTTCCTTGCGAAGCTTGCCTTGCTTGTTCCTCGCACTGCTCCTTCCTCTTCCCCCCCGCCGTAGCGCTGTTGATTTTTCTGGCTCTCTTCATCTGACCAGAATTACACGATCTAGGTATGGACAGGTTGAAGGGAGTTTTGTTGAGCCGTGGAGGAGCGAACCCTCTCTGCCTCTCTCTCCACGCCCTTTTCTCTGCATCCTTTTCCCTCCCCCCCCCCCCCCTCCCCCCCCCCGTCCCCCTCGTGCCCCAATTCCAGAGGAGCAACTAGATGCGATCCGGTTTGGCAGGGGCGAGTACGGCCCGAAGCCCACAATTTGCCCCCCTTCTTCCTCCCATCCCCGCGTCCCCTCGTCTCCGTAACTCCCCTCCACCCCGTCTCCCCACCAAACAGAGGAGCAGCTAGATTCGATCCGGTTTGGCAGGGGCGAGTACGGGCCAGAGCCCACAGTGAAGGGGTATGCAGCCACGTTTGGCACCATGACACGCGTGGTCTTCCTGCGCCAGTTCCGCACGTACTGGCGCAACGTCTCCTACAGGTGGGTGGGCGGGTGGGTGTGTGAGTGGGTGGTTTGTTGCTGTTGCTGGTTCTCGCTTTCCCCCACCAGCTGCCTCACTTCCTCACTAGCTGCCATTTAGTCACACAATCCTCCTGTTTCTCTTGTGCTTCTCGTGTGTGTCTGCCCACCCCACAGCTTTGGACGTATTATGTTCTCCATCATCCTCGGACTCATTCTCGGGAGCGCCTTCTGGCAGGTGGGTGGGGAAAGGTCGTGGGGAAGGTGAGGGGAGAAGGTCGGGGGAAAGGGGGGAGCATGCGGGAGGGAAGGGTTGGAGCATGACAGCTTTGGGCGGCATCATGTTCTCCATCATCCTCGGACTCATTCTCGGCAGCGCCTTCTGGCAGGTGGGTGGGGGAAGGTGGGGGGAGAAAGGAGGATGGGATATTGGAGTGGGGGCGGCACTGTGCGGTGCAGTGAAGGCCCTGGGAGGGCTTTGGGCGCATCATATTCCCAGGCGGTTAAACTGTACCGTCAGGAGTCTTCAGATTATACCCAAAGCAACACATGCACAGACCCGCATGCTGTTTGCATCCTGACCTCTCTCTCACCCCTTGCCTCACGCTTTCTCTCTCTTCCTTTTCTCTTCCCCTTCTCTTCTCCCACTCTCCCCCTCCCTCCCCTCCCCTCACTCCCTTTCCCCCGGCAGATCAACTACACCACGACGCCTGGCTTTGCATCTCGCCAGAATCTCATCTATGTGGCTCTCGTGTTTTCCCCCTCTCTTCCCGCCCTCCCCACGTCCCCCACTCTCGCCTATCACCCACGGCAGATCAACTACACCACCACGCCCGGCTTTGCCTCCCGCCAGGGTCTTATCTATGTCTCTCTCTTCCCCTTATCGTGCCCCCCTCTCCTGCGCCTCTTCACTGCTTTCCCCTCTCCCGTCCCCCCCTCCCCCTTTCAGATCAACTACACCACGACGCCCGGCTTCGCTTCCCGCCAGGGTCTTATCTATGTGGCTCTCGTGTTCGTGGCTGTGGTTAATGCCAACAACGTCATTCCACAGGTGCGTGCGTGCGTGCGTGCGTGTGACAGTTGAGACGTCTCAACACAAATCTCATCTAGGGATTGTGGCTCTCGTGTTCGTGGCGGTGGATGACGCCAACAGCGTCATCCCGCAGGTGCGTGCGCACATGAGCTTTGAGACGACTCAGCCCAACGCCCGTCTACGTTTTGCCGCTCTCTTGTAAATGGTGATGGTTGATGCAACAATGTAAGTTTGGAGGGGAGTGGGAGGAATGGGAGTAGGAAGTAAGTGAGTAAGACGCAGTTAGTAGGGTTATGTGATTGTAGGGAAGGGAGTAGAAAGGTGTACACCTTTCCTGAGTAAACTCAGAATTGGAGGATAAGTGTCACCCTTTTAACACATCTCGTTTGAGGTTGATTTTGAGAATTCTCAAAATCAACCTTTAACACATCTCCCCCCCAACCCATGTTCCTCCTCGTCCCCCTTCCTGCCCTACGTGCACCCACACACACCCATGCACACACCCACTCACTCACACACGCTCACTCACACTCACTCTCACACACAGGTGAATGCAGAGCGGCCAGTGTACTACCGGGAGAAGTGTGGGAGAGACAATGCCACTCTCTTAACCCACTCTTCCCCCATTCTCCTCCCCCCCATGCCCCTTCGCAGGTGAACGCGGAGCGGCCAGTGTATTACAGGGAGAAGGCATCCAACATGTATTCTCCAAATGTGGAAGAGGAATCGCCACTCTTTCAACGCACTCCCCTCCCTCCACGCTCCCCCCCCTCCCATTGTCCCCCTTCCTCGCAGGTGAACGCGGAGCGGCCTGTGTATTACAGGGAGAAGGCATCCAACATGTATTCTGCGTTCCTCTACAACGTGTCGTGGGGGCTCATTGAGGTGAGGAGGGATAGGGGGCGTGGATTGGTGTGGGGGGCGGGTGAGGACAGGGGAGGGGTTGGATAGAAGAGAAGGCATCCAACATGTATTCTGCGTTCCTCTACAACGCGTCGTGGGGGCTCATTAAGGTGCGCCGTTTCTTTGCCTTCTACCGTTCTCCTTGGGAGGAAATTCGCACTAACGTTGTTGATTCAAGTAATTACTTGAACACTGACTGAAAGGAATTACAGAGCGCCAGCTCAACTCCAGCCACGGCGTGAGAGAAGTCTAGTTTTGAGGCGCCTCAAAACTAGACTTCTCTCACACGGTTTTGAGGCGCCTCAAAACTAGACTTCTCTCACACGGTTTTGAGGCGCCTCAAAACAAGGAATTACAGAGCGCCAGCTCAACTCCAGCCACGTTAGTACTTAGCCACGCCAAGTGAGTACATACACAGTAATGTACCTTACTGTGTATGTACTCACAAGTAGTGAGTAGCACACTACTCGCAAGTAGTGTGCAATTCACGTCCCCCTTGACTGGTGCCCTGCCTCGCTTGCCTCTCTCTCCCCTCTCTCCCACCTTCCCTCCCCCTCTTTCGCCTCTCTCTTCCCCCCCCCAGATGCCCTACCTGGCGCTCACCACGCTCATCTTCTGCAGCATCTGCTTCGGCATGGCGGGCGTGGCAACGCACAGTGCGGGGGACTTTTTCCTCTTCTGGCTCAACTTCTTCCTCTACTCCTCCTGCATCACCTACTACGGCATCTTCATGGCCATGCTCACTCCCAACGCTGAGGTGCGTCTGTGTGTTGAGGGTGTGTGTGGGAGTGTGGCCTGCTCACGCCCAACGCTGATGGGTGTGCGCACGTGATGGGGGCAGCTGCTCTTATGTGCGAATGACTGTGTGGGGAGAGGGGAAAGGGTGTGTTGAATCAGGTTAATCTCTCTCTTCCCTCCTCCTCCACGACCACCTCGTCTTGGTTTGATGGTTTGAGACGTCTCAAAACTTTCTCTTCGCTCCACCACCACCACCACCACCACCACCACCCCTTTTAATGGCTCTGCATCCTTTGCCTTCCTCCTCCTCCTCTTCCCCCCATCCCCGCCCCCAAACGGCCACTGTGATCATCCCTGTGATAGTCAACATATGGAACATCACATCAGGCTCTCCCCTCCACCGCGTCATCCTTGTTCCTCTCTTCGTTCCCCACTGTCTTTCCCCCCTCCTCCCTCCCCAGACGGCGACTGTGATCATCCCTGTGATAGTCAACATCTGGAACATCACCTCTGGTTTTATGATCCCCAAGACCGACATCCCCAGCTTCTGGGTGTGGCTTTACTACCTCAACCCCACCCAGTTCGCACTCAACTCCCTCCTCTCCATAGCCTTTTACTGCGACACCACCACTCCCGGCGGCCCCTGCTCTGCTCCTGGCTGTCCTACCAACCCTGCCGCCTGCCCTGCCTGCACGTGCAATAGGATTACCGATCAGGGGAATGTGCTTGCTTGGACTATTGCAGAGCAGCAGCGCTCGCTGAATCGGGGCAACGTGGGGTGGAACGTGCTTGCGCTGGTGGCGTTTATTGTGGTGTTCCGAGCGGGGGCTTATCTTGGGTTGCGCTTTATCAAGTATAACCGCCGTTAGCTGGTGTAGTATTATTGGGGTGGTATAATACCGTCAGCCCCCGGATAGAAGCGCCCCTGGGGGTATAAAAAAACCCTGTTTTTTTGGGGGTGCGCTTATATTTGAGGATTTTTATAAGCGCCGGGGCTTATATAATGACATATATGAAATCTAGTTTTTTTTTACACTAAAGTGTTCATCTCGTCCTTGCGATTTGAATTGAATCGATATTGTAGAGGGCATTGAATTTGAATTTCGCGTGAATTGGCAGTGGCTGATTCCCTGCCAACACACACAGTCAGAATGAGTCAGATTGACTTCCTGCCAACACACACAGTCAGAATGAGTCAGATTGACTCCCTGCCAACACACACAGTCAGAATGAGTCAGATTAAGAGCGTATTCCTATGGGGCCACCTCGTATCAAGAATGCTCCTCCTGCCTGTAAATTGACAACCTCGCCAAAACCTCGTATCAGAAAAAGTTGCCGGTTAACCCACATGTGCGACTCCAATCAAAAGCTGATGTGGCATGTTGCGACCCAGCATGAACAAGCGCCCCGACGAACATAAAAAACGTGCCACGAGAGCATAGGGTGGGACGAGCACCAAAATGTCTCCACCCGAGAAGCACATTTCAGTCCTCTAACCCAGACCACATTGAAAGCCGGTAAATAGTACGAAAACCCACCACGATCGGCAAAGTAGCCATGTAGAGGCCTCTTCAAAATGACAGACGTTCCCTTCCTGCCACGGCTGTTAATAGTCTGGCACGCATTTTACTTCGACACCTTCTTAAACAGTGCAATAAACTCGTGCAGTAAGCTTCTGGAGCAGATTAGCACAGCTGAACTAGAAGATACTAATTATGAGACGCGAGGGGAATTACGAGCGCGAAATCGTCTCTTACGGCGGCGACGCCTCGGCGTCTGGGAGGCCGAAATGGCTTCAATGTCCGAAGAGACCTTCATCGACCTTTTCCGCATCAATCGCGCTATTCTGGATTACATAAGCGAAGGCATGGCTCACGTGCTAAACCCCGTCATACAACGACATTGCATTCCGATGAAGGTCGCCGTGCTCATACCGATCAAGTACTTTGCGAGTGCCATGGCGTACGTGGACCTTGCGTTTTGGTTTGGCGTGCCAAAAACACTATGTCATCGCCTCGTCGACATCTTCCTTCAGAACTTTCCAACCATCTTCAAAGCAGCCTGGGTCCGTTTCCCAACACAAGAGGAGATGCACGACATGGCGGAAGAGTTTAGGGGCATCAAAGGTGTGCCCATGGTGGTGGGTGCAATTGACGGTACACACGTACAAATTCGCGGAATGGAGGGCCACAGGGCAGAATACTACACGCGGAAATCACAATACGCCGTGCAGCTTCAAGTTACATGCGATGCAAGAGGGATGATATGGGACTATCTAATCGGCTATCCAGGCACCGCGCATGACCAGAGGGTGTTTGTCCTGTCAAGCCTCTACGAAAGACTAGAAAGGGGCGACATCGCGCCATATCAACTGCTGGGCGACGCCGCCTACCCACTCCGGAGCTACTGCCTTACTCCATTACATGCTCCTACCGGACGCCTAATGCTCGAGTGGGAGCAAACCTTCAATTATTGCCAATCCGCAACACGCATGCCGGTGGAGCGAACTATCGGCCAACTCAAAGGACGATACCGCCTCTTCGCTGGACGACATGAGTGTGCGTTATGGCGAGTCCTTGCCGGCGCCAGTTGTGTGGTAATCCTACACAACATGGGACTCAAGATGGCGAGTGCAAGGTTGAAAACGACAAATCACACGTGGGCAGCGCGGTTGATTAACCAAGACCCCTGGTGGACGAGAGGCGAACTTGCCGAATATGATTGGTGTGCCGATCTAGCCGTGACCAAGACCGATCTGAAGGAGCGTCGGAAACGGCTTGGGGTGGCGCTTCACGAGGAGTACCTTAAGCGACGTCGGAGCGGTGATGCCACACCTCCACGTCGTCATTGATGGTCGCACCTCCCTCTGTATCCTCGCCTGACGGCCCCGATTCCCCCGCTCGGTTGCTTCCGAAATTGAGTGGACGGCTTGTTTGCGACTGCTGAGTCGCCATCCATTCGCGAATCACGCCGGTGATTTGCGACACGCCCTCCTGAGAGCACTGCTTGAATGTGTCGGCCAATAGCTGAGCGGCCGCCATGGTGGCCGTCTCGTTGATACGGCGACGAGCACTCGGTGGGGTGTTACGGACTGCAGGCACGAGTGGGAAAGGGGGTGGAATTAAGATGTATGTTCCAATGTCCAGTTAATGATACATTTGTTTCGCGGAGAAGCCATGCAAATAACAAACTAAAACGGTTAACCAAAACAACCATGCTAATGCTGGCAGACGGTATACATACATGTGTTTGGCGTCGGATTGCTGGTAGGTGGCTTGGGTACCTTCAAACCTGGGTCTACGGTTACGTCAACCGCACCGCCACCGTCCAGCGCGTGTGGCTCAGCAGCAGCAGTATCTTCGTAGAAAAGAACCATCCACTCCCACCACGGGGGTTTAATCACCGTGGCGCCCCCCGAGGCGGTATCCCCCTTTTCTATCTGCTTCCATAGCGCCTTAAGACGTTTCCACTGATTGGAGCATGCTGTGGCGTTCCTGCACCAATCGGTATGCTTCAGCGTAATGTGTTCGACGAGGCGTAACCAATATTGAGACCCTTGTTTACCCGTCATCTTGTTCAGCTCTTCTTTTGTAAACCAACGCGCGGCCACCAGAATGGTTGACTCTTTCATCGACCAGTCAGAGTTCGGTCCTTTCCCCAAGGTGTCGTGAGTCTTCTTCTCGGCCCGGCTACGCTCCTTGCCCTTTCCGCGAGCCGTGGCACGGGTGACGGCGCCACGTTTCTTGCCCGTTCTGACAGGAGAGTCAGAGCGGTCATCAGGCGGGCCATTGTACTCCGCATCGCCGCACCACGCCGCAACTGGGTCGTCCTCGTCTTCATCACCGTCACCGTCGTCGTCTCCCATCTCTTTGTCCGTGTCGATCTCGTCCGAGTCGTAGTCGGCATGCAAACCGACATGGCTCGGGCCGGCATTGACGCGTGGTGGGACAGCAGGGTTAGCGGGAATCTGTCCCACATTTCGCAAGGGTTTCGCAGTCGGTCTTCCTGCGGCGAGTTCCGCGTTCATCCAGGCGACATAAGCAAGATCCTCCGGACGCCATGAGTCGTCGTCTGCGTTGCTAACTTGGTCTTTACGCTTACGGGCCATGATGTTGGCAGTATGATAGATTGAGCATCAACATCACCGTGAAGTTGCATTTTGTATTGAAAAGTGTTTGAAGAGGGAGGTGGAGTGGGCGATGTGTGTTTGGATGACAGGGCAGCTGAACTGGTGGACGTGCGGGGAATGGTGTACGAGTCGCTATGCATCTGACTAGGGAGGTGACACGGAAAGTTGGCACACTCTGCACGTTCGCGCGCGGCGCACGACTGCCACCGTGTGCAGTTTCGCATGAATGTTTGTCGGCCGCATTCACAGGGCTGACGCCTTTACGTCAACTGGAACCGTGCGTCGGTAAACCTGCACGTTCACTTCTGGGTGTGCGAGCATTCTCATTGGTGCGCTGGTTGGGTCTATTCTTGATATAAGGTGTTTTATACCGTAAACATAAGTCAATTCCATTCTTGATACGAGGTGGCCCTGTAGGAATACGCTCTAACCCCATGACAGCTCATTCTGACTGGACGCGAAGGCATTGAGTCGCGCGAGGGGCAAGGGTTTCGAAATTCTGAATGTGGGGATGCAATATTGTGTTTCGTTTCAGCGTTTTCAGTAAAAATAAAAAAAAAATATTAAAGAGGGTGGCGCTTATAATCCGTAAGCCTTCAGGGGTGCGCTTATAATCGAGGACCGGATATAAGCGCCCTCATCCTTTTATAAGCGCCGGCGCTTATCCGAGGCCTGCGCTTCTATCCGGGGGCTTACGGTAATGGGACCCCGTATATGGGTAGGTGAGTAGATGGGGTGACCATGTTGACTCTGCAGAGCCGGATCAAAGAGAGCATAGGCTTGAAGAGACTGGGTGGGCACACAAAGCAAGACAGGATCCTGTGCGCTGCACTGCCGCACGGACATAAAGCTTGATAAAATAGGTGTACGGTAGTCCTAGTAAATCTTTACACCGACTGAATGTTTTGTTTACTTCACACAGACGAATTTTAGGGCCAATGAGGCACCACAGCTCTAGTACATAGAACAAACTTGCACTATGTACTTGGCAAGTTTGTTCTATGTACCGGTACTTGGCGGTCGCTGAACTTGGGAAGGCATGAGCTGAGTAGCAATAAATTTAGAAATCAGGTCCAGCAATTGATACGGTAACAGTGAACACCAACAATAGCAACAACACAAAACAAGAATAATGACTTGGATCATGACTTTCAGTGCATCCTTGATTGAGTTCCCACAAGCAAGCCCTCCTCAGCTGCCAAACTTTTTGAAAATGCTCACGAGGTGCTCCTCTCCTCCCCACCCAGAGAAGTCTGTCTTTGTCTTCCGGAACCGTAGTTTATTCATCAAGGTCCATAGAGTCTTCAACCTCTGCAAAGGCTGTGGAGTAGAAGGCCTTGAAGAGATGGTATGCAGTGTCTATGTCATCCGATGCACACATCTCCCGGATGCTGCAGGAAGGGGGGGTGCGTGGAGGAAATAAGGGATGGAGGGAAGGCATGAAGGAAGAAAGCCATGAAGAGATGGTATGCTGTGTCGACGTCGTCCGATGCACTCATCTCCCGGATGCTGCAAAGAGGGGGTGAGGAGGGGGGCGTGGTGTGGATGGGGAGGGATGGGAGGAAGGAAGGAAGGTTGTGAAGAGATGGCATGCTGTGTCGATGTTGTCAGACCTACACGTCTCCCGGATGCTGCAAGGGAGGGCTGGTGAGTGGAGAGGAGAGGGGTGAAGCGGGTAAGGGGGCAGCGGACACATTGTACATGGACCAGGGAGATGAGGAATGAGGAGGAGGGGGGAGAGAGATGATGAGGGGGGTTGGAGAGGGGTGGTTGGCGGGGGGAAGGGGGAAGGGTCTTTAAAGCCCAGGCCTGGCATGACTATAACACGGCAGCACTTGTTTTCAAAAATGCGTCACACACACCACCATCACCCCACCACACCCACCTGTGCATGGAGAGCTGCGGAATGCCGACGTCCACGGTGCGAATGCCGAGACCCGAGGAGAGGATGGGGCCGATGGTGCTGCCACACCCCATGTCATTGCGCACCACAAAGGACTGTGAGGTGGGGGGGGGGGGGGAGGGAGAGGAGGGGGGGGGAGGGAGAGGAGGGGGGGGGAGGGGAGGGGGAGGGGAGGGGGAGGGGAGGGGAAGCTTGGGCTCCAGATGCGAGGATGGGGCCGATGGTGCTGCCACACCCCATGTCATTGCGCACCACAACAGACTGCATTGGAAGGCGAGGAGAACGGGGAGTGAAGCAACATGGGATGCACGTAAAACAAGTGCTAACAAAAAGGCTGTATCAGAAAGGCTTCAAGAACAAGATGGTTCAAGAAAAGCAGCACACCTGGCAGGGCAGGCCGTGTTTGGCAACGAGGTGATTGAAGCGCCTAGAGAGAGGAGTGTGGGGGAGAGGCGGTTCTAGAGAGGCCCACAAGACGACTGGCGCACAAGCAGAGCAGTTGCAGTATACCTGGCAGGGCAGGCCGTGCTTGGCAGCGAGGTGTTTGAAGAGGATGGAGGAGGCGAGGTTGGTGGCGTAGCGCTGGTTGGCGTTGTGCTTCACCACCATGCCGAGGCAGAGTCGTTTGAGAAAGACTCTGCAGCAAGGCAAAGCAGAGTGCTCACTTGCTCGCTCCCTCATTCACTCACCCACTCACTCACTCACCTACCCACTCACCTACCCACTCACTCACTCACTAGCAGAAGCAGCAGCAGCACGGGCATAGCAAGCGCAGCATACCTGGCAGGGCAGGCCGTGCTTGGCAGCGAGGTGTTTGAAGAGGAAGGAGGAGACGAGGTTGGTGGCGTAGCGCTGGTTGGCGTTGTGCTTCACCACCATGCCCGCCCCCATCCGTGGCTGATGCCGCTCCTCATGCTTCTCGGGGTAGTTGGGGTGCAGTGCATGCGCCATGTCCGCACTCACTGGGGGAAGGGGAGGAGCGGAGGATTGGGGACGGGTGGGGTAGGGTGAGAAGGGTACCAGTAAAAAAAGAGTTGAGTCGGGCTAAACGAAGCCTGGCAGTAGTTGGGATGCATTGCATGCGCCATGTCTGCACTAGCTTTGAGGAGGGGAGGAAGGGAGGTGCGGGTGGGTGGAGAGGAGTGGGGAGTGGTGGGAAGGGGTGACAGGAGGAAAGGGGTTGAGTCGACCAAAAAGAAGCCTGGCAATAGTTGGGGTGCGTGCATTGCATGCGCCATGTCTGCAGCACTAGCTTGAAAGTGGGGAGGTAGGGGGAGGAAGGGAGAGCAAGGGAGGTGCTGTGATTTACTGCACTGGGAGGTTGGGGTGCACTGGGACACGTCAAAGGTGGAGGTTGCTGCTGGCCGTTATGCTTCTCCTGGTAGTTGGAACTTGGGATGCAGCATATGCGCCATGTTTGCACTCACTGAGACGATTTTTGAGGCGCCTCAAAGGCCGTTATGCTTCTCCTGGTAGTTGGGATGCAGCATATGCGCCATGTCCGCTCCGCACTCACTGAGTCCTCTCACCCACTCACCCACCCAGCTAGAAACGACCTCCTTCCTCGCCCACCTAGCAACCACCCCCTCCCACCCACCCACCGAGGAACGACGCTCGGAGACTCCTCTCCACAGCGCCCTCCTCCGCCTCTACTCCCGGCATCTGCTTGACGATGCGCTTGATGGCGTTGTACATGGCGGGGGATGCCGCCCCACTCACTGACTCCGACCCCACCTGGTGATGTGCACAGATGGGAGTGAGAAGGCAGGGAGACACAGGGGAGGGGAGAGACAGGGAAAGAGGGGATGGGCTGAATCTGGTGGTCTGCACGTAGGGCATAGAAGAGAGCACGCCTCTTCTCCTTCTCCTCCGCCTCTACTCCCGGCATCTGCTTGACGATGCGCTTGATGGCGTTGTACATGGCGGGGGATGCCGCCCCACTCACTGACTCCGACCCCACATGGTGATGTGCACAGATGGGAGTGAGCAGGCAGGGAGACACAGGGGAGGGGAGAGACAGGGAAAGAGGGGATGGGCTGAATCTGGTGGTCTGCACGTAGGGCATAGAAGAGAGCACGCCTCTTCTCCTTCTCCTCCGCCTCTACTCCCGGCATCTGCTTGACGATGCGCTTGATGGCGTTGTACATGGCGGGGGATGCCGCCCCACTCACTGACTCCGACCCCACCTGGTGATGTGCACAGATGGGAGTGAGAAGGCAGGGAGACACAGGGGAGGGGAGAGACAGGGAAAGAGGGGATGGGCTGAATCTGGTGGTCTGCACGTAGGGCATAGAAGAGAGCACGCCTCTTCTCCTTCTCCTCCGCCTCTACTCCCGGCATCTGCTTGACGATGCGCTTGATGGCGTTGTACATGGCGGGGGATGCCGCCCCACTCACTGACTCCGACCCCACATGGTGATGTGCACAGATGGGAGTGAGCAGGCAGGGAGACACAGGGGAGGGGAGAGACAGGGAAAGAGGGGATGGGCTGAATCTGGTGGTCTGCACGTAGGGCATAGAAGAGAGCACGCCTCTTCTCCTTCTCCTCCGCCTCTACCCCCGGCATCTGCTTGACAATGCGCTTGATGGCGTTGTACATGGCGGGGGATGCCGCCCCACTCACTGACTCCGACCCCACCTGGTGATATGCACCCACCCAGGGACGGGGGAAAGGCGGGGAAGGGGGGAGACGGGGCAGAGGAGAGACAGGGAAAGAGAGGATGAACTGCAGATGCTGAGGTGTACAAGTAGCAAAGAAGAAAGCGCGCCTTTACCCCTTCTCCTCCTCTGCGTGTACCCCTGGCATCTGCTTGACAATGCGCTTGATGGCGTTGTACCTAGTCAAGCAGATGCCAGGGGTGGAGGCAGAGGAGGGTGGGGGATGCCGCCCCACTCACAGACTCCAACCCCACCTGTTGTGGAATAGAAATGGCAAGAACGACAGTGTGCCCGCCTCACAGCCTTCCCTTCACCACGCTCCTCACACCTGCACACCAGCGCACGCACCTCTTCATTATCACACAGTGCCACCACGCGCACGCCCCACTCCTCCTGCAGCCCCTCCGCGTCGATCAGCGCCTGCAGGGCTGTGTAGCAGCATGCCAGGTTGTCCAGCCGCCCGCTGAATATGAACTCGCCCACTCCCCTCCCCCAGCCCCCCACTCCCCCTTTCCCACTTGTCTCCCTCCCTTAGCCCATGCTGCGCTGTGTGTTGCCATCACCTAATCATCTGTTCACCTCAACTGGAATCTCATTCTTCTCTCCCCACCCACTCACTCACCCACCCACCCACGCACCTCTTCGTTATCAAACAGTGCCACCACGCGCACGCCCTGCTCCTCCTGCAGCCCCTCCGCGTCGATCAGCGCCTGCAGGGCTGTGTAGCAGCATGCCAGGTTGTCCAGCCGCCCACTGAATATGAACTCGCCCGCTCCCCCGGCGCCCGCTACGCTGCGCTGTGTGTCGCACACGTTCAGCTCAAAATCGAGGATGGAGGAGGGCGAGCAGGATAGCTCCTCTGCTAGCAGCTGGTGTGGTGGGTGTGTAAGTGTGTGTTGGGGGGTTGTGTGGTTTCGTGTGTGAGGAGGAAGGTTGAAGGAGAAGGAGGGAGGAGGGGAAAAGGGAAAAGGGGGAGGAAATGGGGATAGATGGAAAAGAGAGATGGAAGCGCTGAATATGAACTCGCCCGCTCCGCCCGCGCCCGCTGTGCTGGGCTGTGTGTCACACACGTTCAACTGAAAGTCTAGGATAGCTGAGGGCGAGCAGGATAGCTGCTCTGCTAGCAGCTGGTGGGTGGGAGGGTGGGTGGGGTGGCATGCGTGTGTGTGGGTGTGTTTGTCTGGACGAAGGGCAGGGGGCGGGGGAGGGGAGGGGGAGGGGAGGGGGAGGGGAGGGGGAGGAGGGGGGGGAGAAAGCAGAGGAAGGAAAGAGGGAGAAATGAGAGAAATGGGACAAATGACGATAGAGCAAGTGAGTGAGGTGGTTAGGGATTAGGCATGTGTGTCGCACACGTTCAGCTCGAAATCAAGGATAGCTGAGGGCGAGCAGGATAGCTGCTCTGCCAGCAGCTGGTGGGTGGGTGCGGTTGCACGAGAGTGTGTGGGTGGAAAGAAAGGAGGAAGGGAGAACGGGGGAGGGGAGGAAAAGGAGGAGGGAAGGGGGAGGGGAGGAAAAGGAGGAGGGAAGGGGGAGGGAAAAGGGAAAGTAGGAGAAATGTGAGAAACGAGAGAAATGAGGAGAGAGAAAGAGAGTGATTGAGTGAACTAGACATGGGATGGGCATTTGTATGGCACACGTTCCGCTTAAAGTCGAGGATGGAAGGGGGCGAGCAGGAGAGCTGCATTGCTAGCAGCTGGTGGATGGGTGCCGTTGCAGAAGTGTGTATAAAATGTATTTGGGGGTGATGTTAATGTGGTAGGGGAGGGCGGAAGGGGGAAGAGGGGACGGGGGAGGGGGAAGGGAGAGAGAGAGAGTCAGAAGAGAGAGCGAGAGAAGGTCCTTAGTGTTAGTTATAGCCCTCTCCCCTGCCCTCTGCCATATTGCTTGGCCTATATAAGAGCCCTTTGGGCCCATCCCTCTCTCATTATTCAGTTTTTGTGTGAGTTTGGAGCCAGCCTTGCTTTATTCAGTGCATAGCCAATTCCCTGCCTCCACCCATCTATTGGTCTTCGACTCTCCTCTCCAGTCCTCTCCTCTCCTCTCCTCCCTCTCCTCTCCTCTCCTCTCCTCCCCCATTTATTCCCCTCCTCACCTCCAGCAGCAGTGGATGATGCTCCGAGTTCCCATTCCCATTGCCATTACCACCATTACTGCCACTGCCATTGCCGTTACTGCTGCCTGTGCCGTTCGTCTTGCCATTCACCCTCGCAGCTGCCACAGCTGCTGCCGCGCCCCCCTCTGCTGTCCCAAGCCGCCCGCCCGAACCAGAACCAGCACCATTAGCAGCAGCAGCGGCGGAGCCGTTGTTGGCGCGCAGTTGAGCTTTAATGTGAGTGGCGAGGACAGGGACGAGATGGGTCTCCGCGTTGGGCTTGAATCCGTCTGTGTTCACGTTCCTGGAGAGAGGAACAAACAGCACGGAGGTGGAGGAAACAGGACCGCAGAGGAAAAAAAGGGGGGTTGGGAAAAAAAAAAGGGGAACGGGGAAAGGGGGCACGTGGAGAGGAAGAGGAGGTTTAGTGCATGATACTGGAAAAAAACTGAAACAAGGCGGTATGGGCGCAGCAGGGCAGTGTGGCAGCAGGCTCGGGAGTGAAGGAATAGTACATGCATCTGCATTGCTTTCCCCCCCTTCTGCTTCCGAGGCCCCCGTACCAATCACAAGCCCAAAACAGCACACCCTTCCCTTCCCAACCGCCCCAGCCACCCACCCTAACCCACCCTACCAACCCTACCCGCTCCTCCCCCCCACTCCAACCCACCGGTCGAGGTGAATCGCGAGAGTGGGAATTCTCAATATCGGCCTGTCAATCTTCACCAGCCGCTGCGCCACCCTGCCGTCCTCCCCTTGCACGAGCACACGGCCAGCCAGGGAGAGGTCCCGGTCGAACCAGGTGTGCCAGAGGCCACCGCCGTAGGTCTGCACGGCGAGGGAGAGGTAGCCGCCCTTGGTGGCGGCCGACACGGGCTTGAGCTTCAGGCACGGGCTGTCCGTGTGCGCTGCCACTATGCGCAGCGGGAGAGACGCGGGGGACGCCCTGGGGGGGGGGATGGGGGAAGAGGGAAAGGGAGAGCGGGGAGGGGGAAGGGGGAAGGAGGAACGGGGAAGGGGGAAGGGGGAAGGGAGGAGCGGCAGGTGAGGGGAGTTGGTTCAACTCAGAAAGCACCACTGCCAGCCAGGGAGACGTCTCGGTCGAACCAGGTGTGTCAGAGGCCGCCACCGTACGTCTGCACAGACGGCCGATATGGGCTTGAGCTTCAGGCACGGGCTGTCCGTGTGTGCTGCCGCTATGCGCAATGGAAGAGACGCGGGGGACTTCCTGGGGGGACGGGGGGAAGGGGTTGGGGGTAGGGGGAAGGGGGAAGGGGGGAAGAGGAAGGGGGAAAGGGGAAACGCCACGATGGAGGAGAGGCTGCGGGTGAAGAAGTACTTGTCGCCGGGCCTCAGCTGCCATGGGTCTGCCCCCCTATGCCTCCCCATCCCTGTGCCCCTTACTTTATGCCCACAGCGAGCGCCCTCACCTCTCCCACAAACCAAGCAAACGTACTTCTCCCCGACAGCAAATGCCACGATGGAGGAGAGGTTGCGCGTGAAGAATTACTCACCAATTTTCATGTTCGATTGATATAATAAAACCCACACACACCACACTCTCTGCTATGCTTGCTATCCCTGTGGCACGTACTTCTCCCCAACAGCGAATGCCACGATGGAGGAGAGGTTGCGCGTGAAGAAGTACTTGCCGCCTGGCCGCAGCTGCCATGCGTCCGACTCCCTCAGCTGCTCGTACCCCGCTGCTCTCAACAGGTTCCGCGCCGACACTGGTGAGGCAGCAGGGAGGGAGTAGAAGTGAAGTGGAAAGGCGGGGGAAATGAATGGAGAAAGAATGGGGTCATTTACATGGCACATGGATTACGGATTGAGTTACTACATGCTGTAGGGACAGCCAGACCAGAGGTCGCCTCTCGCCCGCCTCCCTCAGCTGCTCGTACCCCTCTGCTCTCAACAGATCCCACCTACTTCCCAACTCTCACCTCCCCTCCCCTCCCCTCCTAACCAATCCCACCCATCCTAATTCCGTAATCCCACCCTCTCTCTCGTCCCCGCGTCCGCGTCACTCACCTGCAGCGTGGAACTGTGTTCATGAGTCGTTAAGGTACTCTATAAACAGGGCCACCCGACAGACGAGAACAAAAATTTTGGTCGACTCACTCAAAAGTCGCACCTGTAGCATGGAACTGCGTCCCCGAGCTGTTAAATTACTCTACGAACGGTGTGCCATTGTTCTAATCGACTCACTGAAAAGCCGCACCTGTGGCGTGGAACTGCGTCCACGAGCTGTTGAGGTACTCTATAAACGGCGCCACGACAGATGACGACGCTGCGCCGCTGCTTCCGCTGCTGCTGGGCTGAGGGGTCACAATAGTGGAGGCACGGGGAGGAGGAACGCGGGGAGATTAGGGGGAGGACGGAAGGCGCGGGGGACAAGTAGCAGGAAGGTTAGAAATTCAAGCTTAGCATTTTGTCAAAAGACGACCTTTGAGATTCTTTTAGAGCAGCATTCCATAACGAAGCCATTCCAGTGCTGCGGCGCGACCTGCGGGGTAACACGTACCCGTGCGCCTGCGTCTCCCCCGCAAGGCGCCTTCCCGGCAATCGCCGCGGCCGCGCCGTCTGCTTCCGCCTGCCGGCGCGAGTCAGAGCTGGCGTCGGAAGCCGCGCAGCGGAGCGACAAGGACGGCGACGGCGACGGGTGCGACCACTGGCGATGGTGATTGCGATTGCTTGTCCGTCGCCAGCTGTCGCACGCGACGAGTCCGGTCGCGAAACGATTTGCGTAGCTCGCGCACAATGACTTGGCGGAGGCGCTTTGGAGGAACGGTGAATGCCTGCTGGGCTGGAATTCGGGCGTTGCGATCGCGTGCGACCCGGCGACAGTGAGGCGACGTTGCATAAGGGTGGTGGCGACGGGAGCGGAGCGTGCGACGGTTTGGGTGCCAAGGCGAGCTTGCATTGCGGGTACTGCGGCCATGGCAGGCAGAGTTACAGTAAAGGTGTCTCAATAATAGTTATATCAATAACTCAAGGCAGATGGACCAATGTAGTGGATAATGTCGTCGCTGTGACGCAGTGCGGATGCCGTCTATCGAGGACGGTAGTTGACCGAGAAAGTCGACTGCAAGCGAACAATAATAAGTTCGATTACCAGCCAGCGAATTCACAATCCGACGACTCCGCCGAATAAGATCAAGCGCCAGGAGGACTGACAGAGAGACCTGCAAGCTCCAGCCTTAGTCCCCAAGTATTTGAATCTTTGAAGGTGGAAGGAGGCTCACGGGCACAAGTTCAGTGGTCACCAGGTGCTGCGGCTGTGCGAGTCGTTGAGCTCATCGGGAAACAAAGGCTGCTCTATTCTTTAGCCTAGATTCCTCGATCTCATCCGTTGTGCCTGCTTGTGTCGCTCGTTCCTGTCAGCCTAGGTATTGGCTTGGGTTGGTTTGGGTGGGAAAGGAACAGGTGCATCACCCAGATAATGGCTGCGGTGCGGGTTGCAGGGATGGGCTGAAGGATGACACAAGCAAATGGCGGGAAACAGGTCCCAGGGACGTGTTCGCTGCTGCGCATGTGCGGAAGTAGCGAGGGCGACTTGCTTGCGAAAACAGATAGGGTTAGTTCCACGAGTTCATTCGTGGAAACAATCGTTATTGTTACGTAACTTCGACAAAGCAGCGTGGTGTGCACTATGACGAAAAAATAACACATCGCGTCAGCACTCCACCAAACGAAGTTGCACCATGCGGACTCAGTACCCCGTTCACACAAAACTCCATCCCAAATCACTTTCGACATGGTTCGCGAAAGGTAACCCGGACCGGTTGCGTATTTATAGTGCCAAAATTGGCCGTTCGCCTTTCCTGGGCGAATTCTGGGATTGGGAATTAGGGTTACGCGGACCTGTTCGAGGTGATGGTACATACATTGACAGCTGTTTTAGAACGCTTTAAATTCGAGCCTTTTGACGCATTCAGCGCGTCAATGCCGCGCGTCATTGAAGTCGCATGTCTACAGTACTCCGGTATTAAGGGTTACCTAGGTCAACATGAACTGTAAACGAACTAGTGGGACACGCCCTTATATGTTACAGATATGGTATGGTTGGATGAGCTGACTATATTTGGTGCTTACAAATTATCTGTCATAGACCCTGCTTACCAGAATGGGAGCCATAACCACCACCGCTTGTAGTTATGCAGCTCATAAATGAAAAGGATCAACATGAATTCCAAAGCTTGCTACTTCAAATCTCACTCTGTTGGAGCTCACTCACGACAAGCAGAAGCTGGTATCTGTTGCAAACACATTACAGCCATCAAGCACAAGTGCAATTGGCATACGAATTGATAAGCAACCCATGGTACAGGTAACATATATGAGCAGGAAAACATACAGAAACGGCTGGTGCGAACCGATTGATCGACAAGCACAACACTAGTCACTGAAGTGCACCAAAGAAAAGCATGGATACATGCATGTGTTGTGATTGAATCAGGTGTGAAGCTGCCTGTCACCTTACCTTGAAAGGCTCGCTGTAGCGAGAACAACAGCCATGGAAGCAAACACGTGGCTTGATCACCTCCTTCCCCCCTCTGCAGTCCCCACACTTGCAATCGGCCACAAGCACACCCCGTCGCATGCTTGCTGACACATCAACAGCGCCACTCCACAGGGCATGCTGCATCCCTGCATTGAAATGCATGACTGCAATGCGGTACATGCTTCCACCATCATCAGCCGCCGTCAGCCACAATCAGCCGCATGCCATTTTTGCAGCAGCCTCGTCACCCCATCAGTCCTATTCCATCCGTAACTCCCAACCAGTACCACCATCCACCCCATCAGAAGCACTGGCTCATATCCATTAACATGCCCACCGCCACCGTGACAGACCGCCACATGGCACCATCATCACATGCATCAATACACCACACACCATCATCACCACCACCACCACTCCTCTCTTTCCCCATCCATCCGCTCCCCCCTCCTCCTCTCCCTCAGGTCAAATTCAGAGGCGCCAGCCTCACCCCCTCCACAGCGCCACCCATAGCCGTCAGAGCAGATGCGTTCTTCCCAAACAGAAAGTCAAAGTGGAACGCCTTGCTGCTGCCGTCCTTGGTACTGTACACGCCCATGTGCTGGAACAGCGACGGCACGTGCACATACGCGTGCCGGCCCTTCTCTTTCAGGTAGTCGCGCAGTAGCAGGTCGATCGGAGCTCGCATGAAGTTCGCTTCGACGTAATCTAGCAGTGATGGTAATGCGGTAACGTTGAACAGCAGCGCTTGCGTGCAGCAGGGGATTGAGTATTCATCTGCGTGTTGCACTGGCCAATGGTACGATCGCGGGAGGTACAGGGATAGCACGGCCCAGGACTTGTTTGCAAGGTCTTCAGAGATGAAACGCTCGATTGCCGAGTCGTAACGATGGATGGGTTTCGTGTCGTCCTCCAGGAACAAGATGTAACGCGGGTTGGTAACTATACACTGCCGCACGGCGTACACGAAATCAATGCTCTCTTTCGCCATCCACATCCACCGACTCCAATCCTTGTACTGTAGCTCGCTCGGCACAACCTCCTCCATACGTGTCTTGTTATATATAAACGCACAAACTTCCACGTTAGCGGGGACCACATAAACGGGGACAGACAGCTCCCTCGAAACCCTAACCGCCTGCGTGTACTGCTCCTCAACAGCCCGATTCAGCTCAGTGACACGTGTCCCGTCCCCCACTACGTTCCCCACATCCGCCGCCCCTGGTTGGAACCTATACATACACGACGCGCTGTACACTACCACTTTAATTGCGTGGTCCAATACACCCTCTCCCGAGGCGCGCTCGCCGTCCAGATCCCGCAAAAGCCGGGTGAGGAGCTGCCAGCTGGACACGTTCGGCTCCACGGTTGGCCGAGGGATGGTGGGGATGGCAACGCACAGACCTGAGCGGTGCCGCTGCGGGTGCTGCGTGTGAGAATGAGGCTCGGAATGAGGTTCGGCGAGAGGTTTTGAGTTAGCCATGGGTACGCGGGGTTCGTAGAAGCGTTGGGAGACGAAATTACGCAGGTGGAGGTGGGGGCCCAAGGGCAGCTGAACTTTCTTTTTACTATGCCCGTCCTGGACAGTCGGATCAAGCTTATTGGCCGCTCTACGCGAGAACCACGAAAGGGAGGAGGCTAGTGATGACGCGGACGACGGTGATTGGTCGAGATCGGCTGACACGGAAGTCGTATATCTGCGCCAGGTGAGTGCACAAAGGAGCAGACAGGCGGATAAAGAACCTACCCGAATCAGCATGGCACGACGCGCCATGGCGGAAGGCCTAAGTTTAGCGGCCATGGCCGGATGGAAACCAACAGCTGAATGAACGATCGAGGGAAAGTTGACTTCCTGGGATTACTTGCGAGGAATGAAAGGCGATCTTGAGGGGCGTGAAACTTGGAAGAGATCAGAGAGCACTGCCATATTGTGTGGTTCAGCGCTGACAGGAATCTGTATCCGTTAACAACACATGTTTTATTCGTTCATAGTTGCGACTGTACATCATAAAGATGGCCGTAGTAGTGAGCATCCGCAGATTTATTGACTTCGTATTTAGACACATAAACCAATTCAAATATTCATGATGTGTTCTTGAATAGCTTGCACACTTATCCATCATAACAAATGCTTCTCCAACGTGTGTTATTTCATTTGGAATGTACACAATAGCGTTTAGGACCAAACTATGCTGCAGGCTTTCACCTACTTTGCCAAAGAACTGCACATCCAAAACACTGCACAGCAGAAGCTGGGAAGCAGAATATAGGTATGGTTGATAACGTCTATGCCACAAACACAACAAAGATAAGGAGGAAGATAATAAGCACAAAGAAGATCTTGATAATGAGCCACCGGTTGGACGAGATATTGTTAAGATACTTGAGCAAGGCGCCTTGTGCTCCCTCCACATTCGTCAGAGTGTCATCCATGTCTTGATCGATGCTGCAAAATAAACCAGTGAAGAGACGTGGGGTGGGTGTTAACCATACACGGAATTAGGGGAGGAGGAACAAGTGACAAAAACAATCAAGTTGCATGCAGAGTGGGTTCCCATATGTCAGCTATACCGACAGTTCTAGCATGTCCCTCCTCCTTAGGGCGTCCTCGGGACGACATCGGGAGGATCGATTGACGTCGATATCATTTTTGGCGGAGTTGGAGTAGGTTCCGTAGTTGTGGATGCAATACGCGTGATTACAGTGCGGTGTCGGATCGATATCCAGTCATCGATCGACGCTTTTACCACGCCCTTAGGGCAGAGATCCCTGGTTAACCCCAACCGATGGGGGCTAGCCCTGCATCCCCAACCCCATCACATGCACCAGACTTCCGTCCCACCCCAGTTACGAAACCAAGTTGCCACCAAGGTCCCGTCTCGCTCGACGGAGGTAGGGGAACGGAGGGGGAGAGGGGGTGGGAGTGGGAGGGGAGGGTTGGAGGGGAGAAGGGTGGGGGGTTGAGGGGAGGGAGGGGGGGGAGAGAGGGAGGAGGGAAGGGGAGGAGGGGAGGGGAGGAGGGGAGTGGGGAATGGGGAGGAAGGGAGTGGATGGGAGGAGAGGAGGAGGAAGGGTGGGGGGGGGGGGGTGTGGCTTACCGGATAGCCATTTCCCCTTGCTGCGCCACCATGGTGGCAAGGTCTCGGAAAATCGTGCTGAGCTCCACGATGGTGGTTTCCACGTTCTGCAGCGCCTCTGACCGGCTGCTCATGTACGAGTCCTGCTGCGCTATCAGCGCCTGCTGCTGCCCCTGCTGCTGCAGCGGGTCAAACGGGTGGCTCCTCCTTGTGCCACTGCTGGAGCAAGGCGAGGAAGAAGCACCAGGGAGAGGGGCGGGCAGAGCAAAGAACGGGGGATAGGGAAGCGTGGGGCAGAGAGAAAAGACAAGGAACAGGGAGACGTCGTTGTGAAGAAGAGGACATAGAGTGAGCATTAACTTGCTCAACATGCATTCCCTGTGTTCTTCACGCCCCTCCATTGTCGTACCACCATCTCTGATACACCTAACCTACACCCATACGAACCCTAAACGTCTCCGGACATGTACATTCCACCACGCCAGCATGGCCAAACCACACCCTGACCTAATCTTGCCAAATGCCCCGCTCATTTCCGCTTCAGCCGAGCTCCATCCGTCTGCTTCAGCCTGTGCACTTGGTGCCAAAGGAGGTGATGGTCTGAGGGGTAAGGTGCCAGAGCCGCTTTTGTAACTGGCGCACATTACTGAAGCGTACTACGAGTTGTTGCTGTACGAACCTGACTCTATCCTTGACTCTCAACGCCATGCTTCTCCCTCCCACCTGGACGCCCTGGACTCCCTTGCGAGAAGAGTCCTTCCCTGCCGAGTCAATCAATCACTGACTAGCCTCATTCAACTCATCAAACTTACCGAACACGTTCGATTCAGTGACAACATTTTACCATAGACTTCATTGAGCTTGTTCTTTTCACTGACCTCATTCACCTCGTTCGTCTCATCACTCTGCTGTGTCCTGCAGAGTATCCTCCCGACCACCTGAAAGTGCTATTCACCCACCTGAAAATGCTACCCACCCACCTGACAGTGCTACCCACCCACCTGGGAGTGTTGCTGAATAGTTGTGATGCAGAAGTGGCCGAGGACGACGCGCCAGAGGCTGCGGCCCACGGAGGCGGGGCGGCGGAGAGCGCGGCGGCTGCTGGTCGCTGCCGCGCGCCGGACGCACCCGCGATTCCAGACGTTGCGGAGAAGAGCTGGCGCCTGTTCTCGTGGACCTTGAGGTTCTGGGAAGGTTCGGGAGAATGGCAAGGGGCGGCAGGAGTCGCACTTGAGCGTGAGCATAACAGAGCAACTTTTGTGCACACGTAAAGCATCCGAGTTGGGAAATTATGGCATTTCCGCAAATGCCTACACCCTTCAGCGGCCATAACCCGGAGCACCGTAACGACGCCCTTACACCACGCAACAAGACGTGTCGCCCCCATGACGCAGCGTGACAGACATACCTCGGTTCGCATTGTAAGGACGTCTTTAAACTCCTTGGTGGTGTTCATGAGGCGGCTCTTGAGATTATCCACGACCGTGTTGCTGTGCTCACTCGTGTGCCGGTTCTGCCCCTTCTTTCCGCCGCTCGCCTCTGCCTGTGCCTCGCAAAGCGCTTGAAGGTCTGAGATCGACGCATTCAACGCCGTGATGTCCTGCTTGATCACCGCCGTTAGATCTTGAATCTCCGCCGTTGGATCATCGAACATCGACGTTCTTTTGGCCACTGCAGAAGAGGAAGAAAATAAAGAAAATGGGAGGGAAACGAACCACGATCAGGGCTCGCGGGTTATAAACGGGACACCTATAGCGACGCCTTGACTCCACGTGATATATGAGCTAAGAAACGCAAACGGACGGACACTGCTGATCTATTTCTGAAGACCCCGACCTCATCCCTTGAGTTTCATACACCGTTATATTTATATTCTTGAAATTAATTCATCACATACGTTTGGCCAGCTTCTGCAGCTTCTGCGTCGTCTGATGAATACACAATCCGATTCGCGACGCTCTCCGGTTGAACTCTGATTGAACCGCAGACCCCGCAGAGCTGGCTCCCGGACCGCCTGCACCGGCGATTCCGCCTGGGGACCCGCCGACGGGAACAGTCGCGAGGCTCTTATCCGATGATCGGGCGAAACCACTGGTAACATCGCCATTCGCGGCTCCTGGCAGTGGCGGTGCTTTTTGAAGGCCTTCTGCGATAGCGAAGAGCTCTGCTGTTCGGTCCCGGTATGACGACGGACCTACGCTTGTGAGAGCCGACGCGGCTGAAAAAGTCGACGTCTGGCTGATTGGACTCAGCATGGTTAGTGAATCTGCAAAGGGTGGGAGGACGACTTGGGACGAGGAAACCCTAAGTGGTGCTACAGCGTGACGTCTCGAAGCTACGAGCTATGTATGTGATGACGGCTTCCCAGAGCCTGCCATGCACAACAACCGTCGACTGGAGCCACTGAAAAGGCTAGGCGAGTACTTTCAAGAGAGGATTAATAGGGAAGACTGGGGGACTAGTATGTACTGCGAGTTGCAGCAAGACTTTCGGTAGCCAGATCTGCACGCTGTACGAAAACAACGTAGGCTGTTGCCGAAGCCTCACAGAAAATACAGATGATTAGTTAAGAAGCTACCCGAAAGGCGGCAAGACTCTCTCGGCCAGGTCGAATTCGAAAGCTTCTAGTTTACAACACTTTTCTTGAGTCCCAATCCCAAGCCTGTCACTCTCTAATTCCTCTTGCTTGTGCCAGCTCTATCCTCTCCGCTTGGCTTGCTTTCTGGAATCTGGATTCCGAAGCTACTGCTTCATGGCCCGTCTATATATTTCATACTACGTTCCAGGACAGAAATGGGTGAAGTGGGATTCGCTGAGTTGAATTGGGGTGGTATGGGTTGGAAAGGATTGTTTTCACGCCAGGGGACGGCTGTCGCCTGCATCACCACGTTTCCGCCATCCCTTGCACTCTCCCACCAGTTCCACCTACCATCATGTCCAGTTTTGGAGAGCGCACAGTGACTTGCCGGTGGTCGTTTAGATTTCTGTCTTTCTATTGGCTGGTGCATGTCAGAGCGCTAAACAGTGGTCGCTTTCGCGGAACGTCCTCGCTCCGTCGTGAGAGTGTGTGGAGGGGGCACCTGTAGGTTGCGGCAGCGCTGCGTTCGTGGGCAGGACTTTCGCGCCCTCGAGTAGTCGTGGGCTGGTTCTAGTATTTCGCCAACGCTGTTTGTTGGACGACGTAACCGTTGTCTTTCCTTGGCGAGTCGCAGCGCAGACCAGCGACGCTCTGACAACGGTTGACAGTTTCTAGAACCCCTAGCCTTGGTGATCCGCTTTGCTACCGCCTTCGCGAATCAGGTTTGGCTGCTAGCCGTCACCTCAAGCTTTTGTTACAAGTCGCAAATGCGTACAGATTATCGCGAACACCAACACTTCCATCCCCCAGTCTGCCCTTGGTGCTGACCCTGAACATTAGTGATCAAGATGGGTCACCAAAACTTTTGTGCTTTTCATGAATGTGGTCATCGAGATGACCACAACCAATCAAAGCGAGGTTTGACCTTGCAATGGTTCGAGAAGGTTTGTTTTTAATCTGCCCAGACAAGGCAACCAAAACCAAAATGGCTCGGAAAGATCACCAAAAGTGCACCAGGCACAAAACGAGGGGAGGACCTCTCAGTTCAGTTTAGCTCAGCCATAGCCTTATGTCCTTCGTATCTTTTCAGTCGCCTCGGCTGGATTCTACTCTCTAGAATCCCATTGTAGCTGCGTCCGCCTTTTGTTCCATGTTCGGTGCCACGAAGACCGCCCGTTCAAATTAGGTTTCGTCCTTTTGTTCAATTTTACAAAGATTGTTGCTCTCATGCGATCTCACTGACTCGTCGAAGCAACAGACGGTCGAATCTCGCGAGTTTTAGACTCTGGAGCCACCAGTATCAAGCAGAGTCAAAAGGCTTTTCTTGCGGTCGAGTTGCAGTAGCTCGTCTGGCTCAAACTCGTTAGGCACAGTCCTGGTAGTCTAGGATTCGCTACTGTTTGTCCAGTAGCTCTGACCACTTCCTTGTTGTGGAATTCGGCGTTTCATCTTGGACCCAACCGTCCGTACCCAAACACTGGAACCATGGCGTTTAGACCAACTCATCGAAACGAGTAAGTCCGTTCTTGAAGCTTTTTCATCGCGCACTAACTAAGAAATTGGACTGCTTCTGTATGCAGCATCTACTTCTGTATTCGCGTGCCGAGCGGTTCTGCAGCTGGCCATTCCATGCATGTAACCTCCTCCCGCCGATCACCTTCTTTCACATCCCCTCTCACAACCCTCGTCCCTACGCACCGCATCTCTCAACCCTTTCCATCTCCTCCCTTGTCTCCATCCTGAGCATCGCTGCTGGCTGCTGGGCGAACGCAGCAGCATCGAAGCACGTAAAGCTGCGAAATTGACCTTCATCCCCTCCTTTCCCCTCCTTTCCCCCCTTCTCCTCTGCGAAACCTGCTGGGCGACACACCAGCAGCGTCGGAGCACGTGTAGCTGCAGGTGGACCATCCTTCCCTGACTCTTTTTCCTCCCAATCCCGCCACTCCCCTTCTCCCTCCATCCAGCAAGGGCCGCAGCTAGCTGTTGGGCAGCAACACAGCATCCGCCACGGCGCACGTGCAGCTGCAGGTGGACCATGCTTGCTTCAAGTATTCCTTCCCAATCCCGCCACTCCCCTTCTCCCTCCATCCAGCAAGGGCCGCAGCTGGCTGTTGGGCGACTCACCAGCAGCATGGGGATACGTATAGCTGCAGGTGGATCATTCTCGCCTGAGTCTTTTTCCCTTCCCAATCGCGCCTGTCCCCTTCTCCCTCCATCCAGCAAGGGGCGCAGCTGGCTGTTGGGCGACACACCAGCAGCATCGGAGCACGTGCAGTTGCAGGTGGACCCTATCCGCTCAGGTCTGGACCAAGAAATCGGGTCTCTCAGAGACCAGGTGTCCAAGCTCAAGAGAGTGAGTGTCGCAGGCGTTGTCTGAGTCACGTGTGAGAGTTTTCTAAAGCAGCGGCAGGTGGACCCTATCCGCTCAGGTCTGGACCAAGAAATCGGGTCTCTCAGAGACCAGGTGTCCAAGCTCAAGAGAGTGAGTGTCGCAGGCGTTGTCTGAGTCACGTGTGAGAGTTTTCTAAAGCAGCGGCAGGTGGGGATCCTATTCGCTCAGGGCTGGACCAAGAAATCGGGTCTCTCGGAGACCAGGTGTCCAAGCTCAAGAGAGTGAGTGCCGCAGGCATTATCTGATCCGCTTTTGAGAGTTCCCAAAAGCAGCTGCAGGGGGACGCTATCCACACAAGGCCGGACCAAGAAATCGGGTCTCTCAGAGACCAGGTGTCCAAGCTCAAGAGAGTGAGTGCTGCAGGCATTATCTGAGTTGCGTTTGAGAGTTCTCTCAAAATCAGCTGCAGGTGGACGATCCGCTCAAGGCCAGACCAAGAAATTGGGTCTCTCAGAGTCCGGGTGTTAAAGCTCAAGAGAGTGAGTGCTGCACGCAGGGCGTGGTGGGGTGGAGCGGAAGGTGAAGGGAGAATGCGCTAGATAATAACGAAGATCTCTAGGAGGAGGTGCAGGGGGGGGATTGGGGAGGAGACGGTTGGAGATTGATGGAAGCTGAGGCTGGGAAACTGCCCGAGGGTTTAGAATTGGAGGGAAATGGGTGTGGACAGGGAAGACGTGCACGTTCCATCCCTTCCTTCCTTCCTCCAATCTCCCTCCCTCCTCTCAAGTCCGTGTCTCCTTCTTTCCGCCTTCACTTTCTCACGCTCTCTTTGTCTCAATGCCCCCTGTCCTTCTCTCATGCCCGCCGCCTCTCTTTCTCCTTTTTCCACAGGTAGCAGGCGACATAGCCCTTGAGACCAAGCAGCAGAACGATATCCTTAATCAACTGGTGAGTCTTGCATCAACGTGCATGTATTGTGGTGCTCACATGTGTGTGTACAGTTTTTCATATGTAAAAAAAACGTGTATTTCTTTCACCCTACTTTCTGCTTATTAAAAACCCTACCTCACCTACCCGCGTTTTTCTCACCATGTTTCTCCTACCTCATTTCGCTCATTTTGCATCTCCCTCTTATCGCTCGCCCTCCATACCTCCTCATTCAACTCCTCTTCCTCTCTCTTTTTCTCAGGAGCACACCATGGCTAAGGCGCGGGCAGCAGTGCGCAACACAATGCGGAAGGTAGACAGGCATCTCAAGGGCAGTGGCTCCGCGCACCTGTTACACGTCATCCTCTTTGCGTTAGCGTGCTTCCTCTTGGTGTACCTCTGGAAGAAACTTCGGTGATGCAATGTACAGTTCTCAACCTCAGTACATAGAAAGGCCACTCGTTGCTGCATATAGCTCCTCGTGTTTGCCTGCGCCTTTGGCTGTTTTAGGTGGCTCATATTTAGGCTTCAGCCATTCACCAGTTTTCAGATTGCGGAACAACATTGTATGCAATCAATGAGGTGGCCTAAAGGATACATATCACATTCCCCCCTGGGTTAAAATCGCTCATGAACCCTGGCATGAAGCACCAAAAGTAATTCACCGTCTCATCACCCCTCAAACCCGAGAAGGAATGTGACGTCTAATTTCCATGCGTAAACAGACAATGACACAAAAAAAATGATTTTTTTCGAAAGTGTGTAACACTTTCTAAAAATGCGTATTGTGAAAGCGCAGCTGCCTGTAACGCAGCAAAGCAACGGCAAATTACAATTCGCCGAGTACATAATGAGGGTTGGAGGCCATTCGGCCTCCACCCACGACTTCATTTCGGAACTTTGCAGTTCCACTCATCTCGTCCAACCACTTCTCAGGTTTCCACTCTCACTAATACCAGTACTACGGTACCTACTACTAGGAAACAACAACCCAACTGCCAAGTGCTCTGGCTCCCCCGCGCGTTCACTGTGAAATGCGACAGAATCAGGCCTGCTACTGTAATTCGCGTGCGCTCAACTGAGAGCAAAGTGCGCCGGACGAAACTACAACTAGCGCGTCAGGGACGAAATCGCCAGTGGCACGCGCCAGAGGCATGCGCAAGTGCCGAAATCGCCATTGGCGCCAGTGGTGCGCACCAGGAACGAAATCGCCGCTGGCGCCAGTGGCGCGCACCAGGGACGAAATCGCCACTGGCGCCAGTGGCGCGCGCCAGGGACGAAATCGCCACACGCGCGACTGTGGCGAAATTGCCACGTGCGCCAGTGGCGAAATTGCCACTAGCGCTACAGAGACGACATAGCCAATGCAGCGCCTAGAGCGTTTGACTAGGCGTCAACCACCAGTTCGTTCAGTGGCATATAAGTGCTGCAATTCTATTTCAACTTCTTTTCTTGTTTCATTACGTTCTCTGCATTTTCTGTTTAATAATTGTTGGAAACAACTGATTAAGGCGCCTCTGTCGTGTCGAAACACCAAGACAGAAGCGAAGTAGCTCGTATCGAAATATCGGTGAGTCAACCCTTGGAGGTTGAATAACTGTTGGAGGTTACGCGAAAGTCAAAGGTCAGCGACCTTTGACCTGACAAATGCAGCGCGACAGCAAGGACAACCAACTGTCTCGATACTGAGCAGTTGCCCGAGTCGACACTGTATCGAACCGCAACAGCAACAGTAAAACAGTTAACTGTATCTCTTCATATTCCTTTGTATTCCTATAAAAGCTGGTATCCCTGTTATTATAATCAACTTACTTTGCCCTCACATACAAGCGCAAGGTGGTTCACAATCATTTATTAAACGCTTCCGCTATTACATCATCCTACCCTTGAGTTCTGCCCTGCAAAGATCCTAAAGGGCTTTTTCAGCCCAACATGGTATGAGAGCTATCAGGGGGAATTCAACTTCTATACCGACAACATCAACAAGCATGGCTACACAAAAGGAAAGGAGCAACTCCAACGGCTCCCAGGGCACTACTCCTACTCCACCTCCTGCCTCTGGCCTACAGACAGAGGAGGGCACAGCAACAAGACCCAGAGCAACATCTACCGAGACTCCCGCGAATCAACCTTCAGACTTCGACCAGAGCATGATGGAGAAGTTTTTCTCCTTCATGTCCTTCTACGAGCAACACCAGCAATCGGCACCTGCGCAATCACACAACAGCAACAACAACGGAGCAACACCCATGAGTCTCGACGGCTCATCATATGCACGAGGAAATCAACAACAGCAGCCTACCTTTGCTCCGTACGAGCGCGGGTCCATCAGCTTTATGCCACATCCACAGCCTTCACCTGGACAAGAAAAATCACTGGACGCATTACAGGTTCAGTCGCAGTTCGCACACGTTCTGAAGATGCAGACGTCAAGACCTTTCGATGGAAAGGACTTCTTCACCTGGTCGTTCGAGTTCGAGCTGATGATGGAAGGCGCGCAGATACTCGGGTTCTTCGACGGGTCTCTGCCATACCCAACAAACGGCACACAGTACGAGAAGCAGCAATACACCTATCAGTCAATGATGGCGTACACGATCCTACTGAGGAATATCACCCCGACTCAACAACAGAACATAAGGTCTTACCGAGGTTACGGCAACTCCGCGGAGCTCGCGTACAACCACCTGAAGAGCCTGTATCAAGCAACAGACAGCGTAAGCCAAAGTCGGTTAATGGCGCAACTGACAACGGTTGAAATGAAACCAGGGGAGAAAGGAATGGCGTATATCAGTCGATGTCGCGAGTTGCGCGACAAGCTTCTTCGATGCGGAGGGTCGATCTCTGAAGACGCCTTCGTGACAGTCATCATCGGCGGCCTCGGTCCTCAATGGCGCGCCACAAAGGCCATTCTCCGAGCTCACGGAAGAATCTCCGAAGCAGCGCTCTGCGCCGAAATCCACGCCGAGCAGCAAGACATGGACCTGCAAGAAGAACGACATAAAAAGAAGACATCAGCACCGGAATTCGCGTTCCACACTCAGCGACGCTACAACAACAATAACAACCGGCAGCAACAACCGAAGCCAGTACCTCCGTTCTGCCACATCTGCAAAACTTCAGGACACCCGCGTACGCACTGCCCAAATCGTCAACAGTCAACAACTCCACAGCGGCAACTTCGACCTTCAAGCAGCCAAATCGCCTCAACGCAAGCAAATCCCACGACCCAGATTCAAGCCTCAACGACTTCAACGGGACAACCTGCACAAGAAGCAAGAAACATCGTCAGCTGCATGGCAAAGCTGAGTGACTCTTGCATCACCGAGTCACCACCACACTACTCACCGGAAGAACAACTCGACCAAACCACACCCCGCCACGAGTCACTTCAGCCGAACCCGACATACGCCGCCATCGCCCAAAGCGAACCATCCGGAAAAGACACACGGTTCTTGGACAGTTGCTGCGGACAGCACATGTGCTCCTCGGGACGCTTCGTTCAACGAGAACACCAACTTCAGCGCGAAGTTGTCATTACAGTTGCCAACAATCAGAACCTGCGAACACGACGACAAGGCGTAGTTCAACTTCAGTCAAGGGAAACAAAGGTTATACTGCAGATGTCAAAAGTACTAATCGCGGAGGGACTCGGCTACAATTTACTGAGCGTCAGTCAACTAATGGCGAAAGGGATTCACCTCGAAGCAGACAGCACCACCCAAGAATTCAAGCTGTATAATGGGAGAGGAGGACTTTACATCGGCAAGGCGGTCCTCAAGAACAACGTCTTCGTTCTTGATTTCGTTCCTGATCTTGGCACCGCCGACAGCGACGCCATCGTTAACTTCACCAACTGGACACACCCTCCAGACCTTGATCCAGACTTCAGTCCAGAAGGCTTCTGGTACTCACACACCATCCCTGAAGCAGAAAGAACAAGGGCGTTAGCAACAATTCAGACAACATCAGCAGCAGCAGAAACATTATCGGCAGCAGCAGAACCATCGACACTTACAACACCAGTCGCAAGTTCTTCAACATCGCCCCACATCGATAATACTTCACCAACTCCTGCACAGCAGCTAACTCCCACTCCTCGCGAAGTTCACAGAAGCGCCAACTTCACCGCCGCCTTTTACTCCAACTCCGATCTGTATCGTCGTTCACCCGGACATCGCGCCAGCGAAGACATCTGGCACGCACGAATGGGACACCCAAGCAACACGGTGTTAAACAATACAATCCGAGCAGGCATACTCGACAAAGATTCACTACTCCTAACGGACGGAAGTGAACTTCGACGAGCACGAGGAACGTGCTTTACCTGCCCCGAAGCAGACTTACCACATCGGCCATTTACTTCGCACCACAACCCCAGCGCACCAGCTTATGCACCACTTGAGAAAGTTTACAGCGACATCTTGTACAACCGCGAACCTGGACAAGGAGCATACAGCTACACCATCACCTTCGTCGATGCCGCTACACGTTACGTTTGGCATCTTAATCTCCCGAGCAAGGACATGGCCTTCGAAGCCTTCATCGCTTGGCTCCCAGTAGCAGAACGAGAATCAGGCAAGAAACTGAAGAGCTTTCAGTCAGACGGAGGAGGAGAATACACCTCACAGCGGTTCAAGCAGTTCTTGGCAGAAAAGGGAATCAAAAGGCTCATCTCGCTTCCTTACGCCCATCAACAGCAAGGCGTGGCGGAACGGATGAACCGAACCCTCCAGAACACCATGCGCAAACTACTGCGTGGCACGCGACTGCCCAATTACCAGTGGCCTGAAGCGATGGACCACGCTGTCATGCTGCACAACTTGCTTTCTTCGTCGTCATTACCAAACAACGCATCACCGCACCTGCTGTGGACAGGAAAACAGGGCAGCACAAAAATGTTAAGAGTTTTCGGCTGCATGGTACAGTACCGACCCCCATCTGCACGAGCCGGCCGATTTTCCCAACGAGCACAGTGGGGACTACACTTGGGCATCGAAAGAAATTACAACGCGTGGAAGATTTTCGACGTCCACTCCAAAGAAACAGTAGCAGCACGTGACGTCATTTTCTACGAACGACTCACCCTTCCGACATACCTTGCCAACCTGGAAGAAAATCGGGATCCCACAGGTGGCTTCCGTGGTGACCGACACTTCGCCTCGGCAGCAGACGAAGCTGACTGGGACGAGCAGAACGTGGATAACGCCTCGGAAGAAGCAGGACCACTCCCTTACTGTTCTGTGCCCATCCCGATGGATGACGAAAATCCTCGCGAAGGTGTCAACGCCGAAACTTATTTCGACGTCGCCGACACTGGTTACGTTACACCTGCAGAAGTCAACACCAACGAAGCCGAACGCATAGGGCCCAACTTCATACCTGACCCAGAAACAGGAGACGAAGCAGCTTATCCCG